ACAGCCTTATATACCCAGGCAAACAATGCAGTTACTTTGATCAAATAAAGTAAGAGGCATTTGTTATGGTGATCCTACTACTGGTTCTGCGATCTGCCTCTGAATGATGCAAACACGTACAGATTCTGGGATGTTCTTGGCTTACATTACTGGCAATCTGATTTAAAAACAAGAAACCGAAAGAATGACAACAGAAAACCACCAAAAAAACTCAGAAAAAAATATTATACTTATTGTGATCAACTTGTCTTTAGGTTCCAGAGGCTGGAAAGGTGGTAAGAAAAGGAAAGGCTGAAATTGAGGATGGGAGGAGTATAAAGCCATATCCTTGCATGTACATAAAAGCATAACAAATTTGATAACCTGTTCCAACTTGACATAGCTGGGAGCAGTCAGGCTGTAGATTCATACAAAGGGGCCATTCATTCCCTGATATTACAGAATTCTCAACAGAATATTCTTCCTGCACGTGAGGAATATGTGGAAGGCAAGATGTGAGAACTGTAGCTATTAAATACTGCCAGGAAGAGCTCAAACAGAAATGTGGAAACATTTTTTATATCCGTCAGGATGATCTCAATTTGCTGATCTTTATGCTCACTGAAGAAAGAATATCATTCAACTCATTTAAAAAAAAAAAAAAAAAGACTTTTCTCCCATATTCTAGTATACTGGATGTTGCTTTTAATAATTCCTCTGGCCAGTGATCCTGAAGAGTGCCTTGATGACTGCATAGCCACTACATATAAACATTTAATTATATATTTGGGAAAATAGCGACTACTGCAAATTTACTGTGATTGCACATTCAGTGAGAGCAAAAAGGTATTTCGGAGTCAGTGTTTTGGAGGATGATTTTGCTGGAGTCAGCTTGGAAGAGCAAGCTGAAAACCCTGTGGTTGGTTCATCATCTGCTATAGATACTACCTGTGGTTACTTAACATAGCTGGTTATTACTGCTTTGTCTTCATTAGCTGATTGTGAGAAAGGAAAAGAATCCACAGAATACTTTTCAAAACATGATGTAATTATAGTACAGTTGTGACCTACTTGGCTTCTTGGCGTGGTCCAATTGGAGAAGAATTGGGTTGTGTGGGTGTCATTCCAGAGAGACTAAGACCTACTTTTCAAATGCATCTTCCTCCCCCGTCTCCTTAAATGTGGAATATCTGGGTTTATACCTACAGGATCATTTTAAAAAGCACATTACCCCTGTCACAGATGACATTCTCAAAGGGTGCTGGTGAAGCATTATTAGATGGAAGGATTAAGTGGGAGAAATGTTTACCAGTGCTTTGATGTTTTTTGATGTTTGGGATGACTTTGTCTCTGGTGGAAGTGGCATTTGGTTGGGAATGCTGACAACATAATTAAGGGACAAAAGCCATTCTCAGTGTTGTTCTGAACTCAATTACAATGACAGTACCATGGATGCTCACAGTGGAGGAATGTCTTCTATTGCTCCCTGTTAAACAGTGCTAGTTTTCTGGTCGGAATATGTAATGCTAGCTTATTCCTTATTAATTAAACACATCTCAGTGTATGCTGTCATGGAGAGTTTACGGTACATGGCAGAGAGAAAACACTGATACAGGTAAGTAGACTTCACGTTCATGTTCTAGCACAGAACATTATAACAGAACTGAGCCTTATTTCGTGCATTTGAGAGAGATGTTCTGAGTTGAGATCTTGGCATATATATCACATAATCGCAGAATGGCCTGGGTTGAAAAGGACCACGATGCTCATCCAGTTCCAACCCCCTGCTGTGTGCAGGGTTGCCAACCAGCAGCCCAGGCTGCCCAGAGCCACATCCAGCCTGGCCTTGAATGCCTCCAGGGATGGGGCATCCACAACCTCCTTGTTCCAGTGCATCACCACCCTCTGGGTGAAAAACTTCCTCCCAGTATCTAACCTAAACCTTCACTGTCTTAGTTTAAAACTAATCCCCCTTATCCTACCATTCTCAACCCATGTATATAGTCGTTCCCCCTCCTGTTGATATGCTGCCTTCAAATGAGGTCTCCCTGGAGCTTTCTCTTCTCCAAGCAAAATCATCCCAGTTCCCTCAACCTTTCTTCATAGGATAGGTGCTCCAGCCCTCTGAGCCTTTTAGTGCCACTCCTCTGGACCCGCTCCAAGAGCTCTGCACCTTTCATGTTTGCCAGGCAGAATAGGAGAGACTTGGTGCTGCTGCAGAAGATAAAGCTGGAGTAGGTCTTCAGGGACAGACCTCAGTAGGCTTACTTCTCACCATAGTTAGAAAATCATTCTAGTGACATTTTGCTATACCATGATTTTTTCCAGACAAAAGAGGAAGTTGACTTTGAGGTAATTGCAATTTGCACTTCTGAAGGATGAGTATATTTTTCAGGTTTTTGGTGGTGATTACTTTGGTTTTGAATTCTGGATACGTCAAAGAATAAATTGTCCTTTGTCAGGTTAAACAAAAAACTGCTGTTGTGCAGACACGTTACAGGAGTAGATAACTGTGACACTTCTTGGCAGCTTGGTTTAGAGGAGATTTTGTTGCCTTTCAAAAGATATACCTCCATGTTGTCATCAGCACAGTGGTCGATGGAACATTGATGTTTAAGCATGGCATAGGTCTGAGAAATAACAATGTGAATTGCTGTAGCTCTGTGATCTGCCGTCCTCTCGCCCTCAAGCTGTGATACTGAATCACCAGGTCTACTTGGTCAAGGTGTGATAAAAAGTGAGACAAACCCAAGTTTTTTGTGAAGCTGAGAAGATGCTGGCTTTTGGGACGGGGAAGAAACTATAAAGCACATCTGAAAAAAATAAAATGAAAGCAGCATACTTTGACGGAAAATTGATTGAGGCTAAGACAGGTTTTATGAGACAACTTTAAGTTGCTACATGTGTGATTTCAGTAGAACTGTAAGCAGTTATTTTTTATTAGTCTGTGTCCTCTGACTGAAAAAAGTATTTGTGTCTCTGAGTCATTGTCAGAATAATGTTACAGTGACTTAGTTAGCTGGAATTTTTGAGTGGCTTAAGGAAATCATATCCTCTAGAGCAAGGTAACTGATTTCCAGAGGCCTTTGCTTGCGTTGCTGCAGCTGAGGCTGGCAGGTGCCTGAGGAGTTGGGAGATCACCTGTGGCTCCTGATGCCTTGACATCCAGGAAGCTGTGAAGGATCTCACTTCCAATGGGGAAACTCCAGCTGTCCAGCAGTGCTACAAAAAGTTGTGGCCCTGTTTTCCTTAGAGGGACCATCAGAGGAAAGTGAGAGAGAACTTCCTGAAAGGCTTGCATTGCTTAAAGGAACGTGTTGCAAAATGTGCGAAAGGAGGTGTTTACTGAAGTGATGTTCTGTACCCCTTATCCGTATGAGGCTTATCAAACAGAAAACCAGTTGGTAGACTTCTTGTTGCCATTTTCTTTCTTTGACTAATAGTTGACCCTACTGACTGGGGACCCTACTGAACTACAAGAGCTACCTACTTGGAATTCCCTAGGAAAGCTGTTACGTTTTTTAATTACTTCTCAAGACATGAGTGCATTTGAAATAAATGAAAACATTTCCTAAGAGGTCAGGGTAACTTCCCTCAGTAGCAGCATCTCTTTAATGTAGGAATATGAAGTTTAGAGCTGATACTAAAACTTGGGCTACACCTTGGGCTGATGAAGTTGAACTTCCACCGCATTGGAAATTTATTACATGAAAAAGTATTCCAGGTATAGCAAAATAGTATTTTTTGAACTTGACAAGAGTGATTTCAGCACAAGCTCTGAGCCACCTGTCTGTGAGCTCGCTATGGGGTGAGCAGCTGCTGTTAATGGAAGGGTAAGGCTGCTGGAGGTGGTTTGGCTAGGAGGCAAAGTGTGTTTGCATTATACCAGTGTTATATGCCAGCTATATAATTCTGGTCTAGTCAGATGTGTCATCTGAGGTATGAGCTGAGAGTAGGTAGAAAAGATTGTGTAAGATGTGTTTGTGTTTGACTTTCTTTCAGCCTTTTTTGCTGAGCCTCCATGCTGTGGGGCAGTAGACAGACAGTTCAAAGTGTTTTTCCCCCCTGCCTTTGTGGAGTTTGTCTGTGATTTGGTGGGGGAAAGCAGGGCTTGGTCTCGTGTTTCTACAGTGCATCACTTCAGATTAATTGAAAGCTATGCATAAGATTGTAGTTTTCATGAATGGCCTAAACCAATTTAATTCTGTATTCTATCTTTGGCTCTTCTTTTGCATTGGCATTAGCAAACACAGGGCTGCTTAGTGAGACACGTCAGTGGTCGTGACTAGTCCCTCCAAAAAACCCAACCAACTAATTGAATTTACTGTGTTACCACATGGCTGCCAGGGTAAACACAGAACATTGAAGGGCAAGTCAAAGTACTCGACATTGGTATCCTCAGTTTGAAATGTTACCTCTGCTCCTTTTATGACAGCACCAGTTGGAGCTGTGCCTGAAGGATAATGGTGTTTTTGCTTTGGTTTGCCATGTTCTGTGTAGGCTTTCAGTGGCCAGGGAAAATACAGATTTATTTTCCTATACATTTCCATAAACTTGCTCCTGCCTTGTTCTTGATGTGTAGCACTGCTAAAGTCAGAGGGGCTTTGCCCCAGTGCTGTTGTCTATCAGTTTGTTGGCTGTTTTAGCTTATCACAAAATGGAAGTGATTTGACTTCCATGACAAAGAATGTTTGTTTTCACTTTCAAACTCAGTGCTGTTAGATTTTATAGCTGTGAGGAATGTTACATTTTTCTTTCTCTCTTTTAAATCTGTGATTATATTAATGATGAAGGAACTACTGATGCTTGTTAAAAATCTATGCTATATCCTGTAAGTATCTTCTGATTTCTTCTGATTTGATTAGCCTTAAAAACATTGTGGGTTACAGAAAAATGTTCAGATTATAATAATGAAGTGCACTGACTGCTTTTATTTCTTTTCTTTTTCTGCTGCCCTCCACTTATGTGAATGGTCAATTCATACTTCACCTCACTGTTGCTGACTTTTCCCCATCTTCTAGAAAACCACCAAAGGTAAGCATTCTCTCCATGTTGGTCCTCCTTTAAAAGTCTTGAATACTACAGAAGTGTCTGGCATGTTCCTATACTATGGGAAGAAAAGCACATTTAAAGAAACCTCTATTCCTCATTTTTCAAAGTTAACTTCATAATTGCAAAGATTACATCTTAATCCAATTGATGTGAAGATTATGTGAAGCTGTGACTTCTTAAAGCGATGACTAGGACAAGCCATTATTTTAATGCATTGCTAAATACCTTTGAAATAATAAGTATAATGTGTAAAACATTTCTTTGCGTATAATACTTCTTTATAATGAGTATTGTTTTAAAAGGTGGTGAAACACATCCAGAAAAAACCAAACTCTTGTTTGTAATTGAACACTGGAATGTACTGTAGGGGAACCTGCTTTATCAGGCAAGTTGAACTCAATGATCTCCAGAGGTCCTTTCCAACTTCTATGATTCTATGATTTTGCATCTTCAAGACTCAGTAATTTGTACATAGTGGCCAAAGAGCACCAGAACTTGCTTAGAAAATGCTGTGTGTAATGCAGGGGAAAAGAAGCAGGATGAGTGCTATGTGTCTATGGGGATACTTTTTGCTTCTGTTGCATGCTATTTTTCGTAGCAGAGAGCTGTAGTTAACTGTCAATGAGCTTGTTTTACATTATTCTCTTTGATTTCTAAATCTCAAATAGTTCACGTGCAAGTCTCAGGTGTCTTGTACAGGTGTAGCAGAGTATTATGTTAGCCTTCTGGGAAGTAGTAGTGGGACGCCTAGCATAGCTGTCTGAATCACACAGATATTTTTGTGTGTGTATATAAATATATATATATAAATGTGTATGAACACCATTCTGATTATTTTTTTAAAGTGTAAGAAGAAAATATCTCAGTAAGTGGTCTGTATTATTCCCATTAGGTAGGGAAGAATGGAACAAGATCTATTCTAGCTTGAATTGAAAAAGTCATATAAACCAAACATAATTTAAGATCACAGCAGGTTTTAAAAAAAAAAAAAAAAGACAATTGTTTTATAGTAAATAACACTGGTATTTCCATTTGCAATGCTATGCTGGGCTGACATTCTTTCCCTGAATGATTGAATGTCTTAAAGATGGAGCTGGTTTTCAGTTTCTCCTTTTTTTTTTTTTTTTCCAAAGCAATAAAATTCTTCTGTCAACTCCAGTTAATACACCTAGCACTAAAGAGCTTTATGATTTGAGATTGACTTCAAAAAGAAAACTAACAAACAAAACAACAAAAAACAAACATGCAAGCCCCCATTTCTTTTTTATAATTTTAACAACAAAAAAATGCATGAGCATTCCTTTTCTTTAGTGCCCCATTCATATGCCCTGGTAGGTAAATAAAGTTGTTATTGGTGTTATGTAATAGCTTAATTACAGCCTTGAGTTTCTTCCACAAAGGCATACCAGCTGCATAGTTGTGTATATAGGCCACATAATTGCTGGGTATAGTTAGATGGCCATTGATATCCTTGAGCTATAATACCAAAACTTCAGATGATGAAATGTTGATCAGTTTGAGACAGAAGATGCTTCTTACTGTCAGTAGAAATGCATATTGTGAGTATTTCAAGACATGATATGAGATGAGGATGCTTCTTGAACGATGTAGCTTTTTGGGTATCCTTTGCAGTCAGTCTTCAAAATTTGTTAATGAAACTATGGAAGTGTTGAAAGTTTCTTTTGTATTTCATGAACTAATTCCATTAACCATGGGTTACTGTGGTTCCCAACCAACTCAATAGCTCTGAAGCTATGGTAGGAAGACTTATGTAAGGGTATGAGAGTTTTCACTGCCAGAGTTTTTTTTCTGCAAACATCATGTTTCATTATGTTACTGATCTTGGACTCTTAGTGTAATGTTTTGACAATTAAAGACAGTTGTTCTGATCTGAGATCTCTGCCTTCAGATTTTTTGTTGTACTTCTTTAGGTGGTAGGACTTGTTTTTCACTCAGTGGGTGCTCAGCAAACCCTGCTCAACTTCTTATCAGGTCCTTTAATGATTTCCATTTATATCACTTCCTGGTGTAGACTTTGTTTGCAAATTCATAATGTACACTTAGCTACTTGAACAGTTGTTATAAAGATGTAGCAGCAACAGTCTGATGAACGAAAATCTCCATTCTTTACTGTGCACTTTTCTTTTTAGCAGCCTACTAGACAGCCCTGTAGTTCACCCTGCCTGTCAGGCTGACTGCTTCATTGAGGTTCATGTGAGCAGTATCTTCACCAGTAAAGCATAACTTTTTTTTCTGTATAAACAGAACATGATTGATTAGCCATCTATTGGTCACATGGAAATGACTATGAAGTGTTACCTGTGCATTTTCAATATTGTATAGATGCGTAGATGGTGTTTATCAAGACTGAACAGATTCCTTAACAGTGCACTGCTAAATGCTGAAAGCCCCATGCTCTAGTCTGTATGGAAGATTAGGTTTTAAAAGAACTAATAAGGTGAAATTAGACTCCTTTCTAAACTAATCATATTGTATAGCTTAATCAGGTAAGCATTTAATATTGGATATGGTACTCATTACCTGTAAGTAGTTCACTTAAGTGTACTTGCATGCATGAGCCCTCAAAATCATTAATTGTTGAAGGCATAGATTAGGGGCTTTGATAAAAACAAGTTCTGCAGAATATTGTTTTGGCTATTTAAAATGTTAATACCCCTTGGCTGTCTTTTCTAATTCTTTGAGAATCAGAAATACCTCTGTACTGATGTGCCCAGAACTGAACAGGGTACTCGAGGTGAGCCTCACCAGTGCTGAGTACAGGAGCAGGATGACTTCCCTAGTCCTGCTCACCACACCATTCCTGATGCAAGACAGGGTGCCATTGGCCTTCTTGGCCACCTGAGCACACTGCTTGTTTCTTTTATCTGGCTGTCTATTTTAGTGGCTGCAGTAAAGCCAAGAATTTTACAGAAAGTAGAGTAATTTCAAGGCTTGTTCCTTATTTCCCTCTGAAATTTGAAAACCAAGAGTAATTTTGAGTCCAGCCATAGGAAGTGTCAAACATCTTGCATCTGATTGCATCTGAATGCCAACCGGTGTGTTAAGATGAAGTAGTGTGAAACTGTCTGTCAAAGTTTTCCCATTTTGCTTACTTTTTTAAAGAATACTTTACAATTTGTGGTACAGTGGAGGTGAAATTGGCATCACTGTAATAGTAAAGCAGAAATACGAGTCCATAGGGTCACAGAGACGTTCTTGAAATACTTAAAGCAACTGAAGATTCAGGAAGTCTTTGTGGAGATGCATTTGGTGGTTTTAAATGTTGAATTTCAAACAACAAACAGTTGGATTTCTTTTTTCCTTGCAGTGTTAAAAGAGCCAAATGGAATAGATTTTCCAAAATATGCTTAAAACTAATTTGTAAAAGATGCTTTTGTAGTTTAAAAAATTCTGTCACAGATTCCTCTTTGTTCAAATGTGTTTGAATAATAGTTTTGAAATAAGTTGGTGAAAGTATTGGATTTTGCTTTCGTGTGTTCTCCAAAAAATGAAGAAGGCATTTTCAGTGTGCAGTGTTGAGTACTGGCTGTGAGTTCATTTTGATCTCATTGACAATGCTTTTCATACATCCTTCAGAGAAATGGATGACGGAGAATAAAATCAATGAGAAAAAGCTTATTATTCTGCATGCTCATGTCAAAAGAGAAACTAGTAGTCAGCATATATTGAAGCGTCCCCAGGTAAGCTTGTGTGTGCTTACCTTAGTTCTTAGGACTGCACCTTCTGCACTGGAGGCCAGGAAAATAGAAGCTGTAGAATCATCTTTGTACTTAATAAAAATATAAAAAGGTCCCACTGTTCAGATTGTGTCCTACAGACATTTCGCATACAGTGCCTTAGTTATGTGGGTGCTGCAGAGCCTTGCTGACTGAGACCTTACTCTTAAATGCTTTATTTCTTACTCTCTTCGTGCTTGCGTTTAGAATCTGTTTCCAAAGGTTTAAGTTGTCCTGTAAGCAGCTTTGGTTGGGGATGCTCGCAGTTTCTGTTTTGTTATCACTAACCTAAGTAATTTTAAATTTTTCTGCATGCTTGTTTCAATGGAGAAAAGAGTTTTCCTGCAGTTGCTGTATGTGTTATGCAGGTACTGAATGCTCCTGCAGTTCCCACTTTTTTACCTGACATATTTTTAATTTTATTTTTTGAAGTAATCATTACTTAAGGATTTAATAGTTTTCCAGAAAGCAGTCTATATGAGGCCTAAGACTTTGTCGTGGCTTTTTACATGTAATAGAGAACTTAAGATCTTAAATTTACCATTGTTTCACTTTTGGGCAGAATTTTTCTCTTCCTTACTGCACCATCATTTTGGACCAATTTTTTACCTTTTTATAATAAATCGGATAACTGCTTTTCTATGAGGAATAGCTGCAAGCACAGGTTTTGTCTCTTTACATGGTCAGTGTTTATATTATTATGTCCTGGTTTCATCTGAAACAGAGTTAATTGTGCACTTTGTGGTGTATTGGTGGTGAGCACTGGTTGGTAGGTGGGAAGTAATTGCATTGTGGCTATATTTATTTAGATATATTTATTGTTACCATTGCGTTTTTGCTTGCTTTTTCCTCTTCTGTGTTAGCAAATAATGTTTCATCTCAACCCACCAGTTCTGTTTTGTTGCCAGTGCCTCATCCCACTCGAGTGGGGTGGATTGAGTGAATGGCTGTGAGGTACTGAGCTGCTGCCAGGTTAAACCACAATTATGAGTCACTGAATAATCCATCATGATTTTGCTACCTTAACTAAGGGGGGAAGGCGTAGGACAATAGATTAAATTGGCTTGCAGTGCTTCTGTATTGACCTCTTATGTCATTACACATTAGCCTGTGTAGCTGGGTAACCTCTCTGAACTGGACTGTGTGATCCACTGCTGATAATATTTTGTTTCAAGGGAGCAGAATAGGCATCTGTTAGGCTGGATTCTTCCAATTGGGTTTCCGTTTGTAATTTAACAGCTTGCAGTTTGATCACAGAGAGATTAGGTTGTTTTTCCTTTTTACCCAGTCCTATAAGGAGAATGTTCACAGAAGTGGAATGAGAAAAGGGAAACACAAATTCTTGGGCTATAAAAGTTATTAAAAAGGTTAGGCTTTTTCTATTGGTGACTGAGAGTTCTTCAGATTTGGAGCTGAATCAAGATAAATAAAGGCACAGAAATATTTAAGATGCACCCTGAACACCTGAAAGTAAAGGGAAGTAAATGCTGCATTTTACTCACAGTTCAGTGACAGAGCTACATCTTTCACTCTGTAACAGCAGGAAATGTCCTGGTTCTTGAAGTTGTCTCTTTCTGTTTGTATTGGAGTAAGTGACTCAGACCTCCCTGTTAGATTATTGTTATGGAGTTGTTTGGGTTTTTTCTCCTCTTCAGAAGGAAATTCCAGAACTCATTTCACTTTTGTGGGCTAAGCATTGTCTCACTGTCAAGTCTTCTCTTACACCGTTGTTATATTCTGCATATAATTGGAAGAAATGGAAAGAGACCAGGTTGCTGTGTTAAGCCAAAATTTTACCTTGCTATTTTATCCCAGAATGTTTGCAGCAACAGACATTTTATGAAGAGTTTGGTTATAATCTAATCTACAGATATATTGTGTGGAAGCTTTATGACTGCAGACAATCCAAGAGAGTTCTGCATATCTGAAAACCAAAAAGGAAACTATCCATCACCTTCCTCATTTCAGGGTTTATCTCAGGATGTCTTGTTTTTCTGCTAATAAATCGAGCCCCTGGCTCTTGCTCTGTATTGACCTGCATTGTATGTCTCACTAAGAAGATTGTCTCTTGGAAGCCCCAGCACAGAAAATTTGGTCCCAAGCAAAGTTTTAATAAAGAAATGATTCCTTTCTGCCTCCCTTGGGATTTTGAAAGAACAAAATATAAAATAGAATTTCAGTCTTTAGTTTAATCTACAGTCAGTTTACTATGGTAAAATGTGGAACACACACCATATATTTCAATGTGTTTGAGGCAATATAAAATTGTCAAATATTAATTAATATTAAGTGTCTGTACTGTAGTGTTCTCAGATGTACAGGAAAGGCAACTTGGATCAAAATTATGGTTTCTAAGTGCTTTTACAGGACACTGTTGCAGGTTTGCAAGTGGCTTAAGCACAATATTGAATATCCTTCTGTTTCTACCCAGCTGCAGCCCTCAGCTGATAAGAAAGTAGGTCTTCATTAGACTGGTCATCCTGGTAGCTTGTCTCTTTAATAATTACATTGTATACCTGTCGTTTTGTGGCTTTCTCTACTGAGCTGCAGGACTATGTCCTCTTAGGTTAGGCAGGTCTTCTGGTGCTACTTAGTCCTTAAGGCTCCTTCCTTGAGCATTAGAAGTGCATGGTAAAACTTTGGTGCATCTTGTATTGATGTCTGCTACATAGTCAGCTCAGCAAGTTCTGCATATTGAGTGCTTTCAGTGATGCTTTGTTACTGCTGGCAGAAACATTGGTCAGCCTTAGTTTCTGGACAGGAGTGAAGCTGGCTGTTGGTCACTGGCTGCACCATCAAGTATGTGATAAAGGAGATGTCATACAGTCATGAAATCCTGCTTTTATGAAAACCTCCTTGCCACAAATTGATGGAATTTTTCTAGAGTTTTTTCTCTTGTTCTGAATTTGAGGCGGTTATGCAGAATAAAACTTTACATTCTGTGACTTGAGCATGTTCAGTTCAATTCATTGTGTATTCAGATGTATTTCTCATAATGTTAATTACAAAAGCTGTAATTGAAGAGATTTGAGGGTGTTTTTTTGTTTTATGCACAAGAGAAGCACTTAATGTAATTATTTGCAGTCTTGCTCTTTGAAGCAGGCTAGAGCTGAAGCTAGTAATACAATTCTGAAGAGGAAATGCATCCTCTAGTTCTGAATACTGTTACTGCTCTTTTATTTCTTTCCTTTCTTATGGTACCCAGTGAAATGTCCAGAAGATGAGCTAAAACTTTCATGGCTTGTGAATGCAAACTTATCTGTTTTAAGAGATGGAGTGCACAAAGTGCCATAGTTTCCTGTGCTTGTTGATGTTTTGACAGTAGAGCTTTGTGTATCATCCTACTGGCAGCAAAGATTGGATTGTCACCTGAAATTCTTGGAACAATTCTTGGAGTTAATTTCTAGACTGGGATAAACTGGCAACTTCCAGTTGCTTTTAAAATAGGAAATGGGAGTGTATGTGTTTTGGGTCTGTCTGAATGGAGTTAGCTTTCTCCATAGCAGCCCACATGGTGCTGTTGTCTGAACCTGTGACTTAGTGGTGGTAACACTCCAGTCATGCAGACATAGCATGCTGTTTACTGGTCACAGGCTTGCTGCTATATTGCTACTATTCTTCAATGAGATCCTTTTTCTTCACATCTTGTTCTTCAATAATGTTTTTCCCCAATCCCAGCCTCCATCCTTGAATCTGAAAGCCTAACTTTCATTGTATTTTGTACTTTTCTTCTTCTTCATGCTTTGTGTCCTCTGCATTCAGGTGAAGTAATGATGTCTTTACCATGGCCTGGATGTGTTTTCCTGTTTTAATATTTGCTCGGGTTTGTTGTGGTGGTGGTGGAGGGTTTTTTGTCCCCTTAGTTACAAAGTTTGACTTTATTCTGGAAGACAATGATGGAGTTCTTTTTTTTTTTTTCTTTGAGAAATACTCTGACTACCTGTAAGACCTACACAGAGCTGGCATTTGCAGTTTCAGTTTCAACAATGAAAATTTGAATCAGAATGAATGTAATTTACATTTACACAGGGACTTTACTACACCTGTCTATTCCTCTTCCCTCTTTTCCGAAGCTTTGTGAGGAGTGGAAACTTCTTTTTAACTGACTCGAGTGTCCAATTTTTAAAACAGTTTAATATGTTGGTTCAACTATAATGCATCTTTTTTTTTTTTTTTTTTTTTAAGCAGTGTTTTGTAGCCTGGGTATTACAGACAGAAGAAGTATTGCAGCTCTGCAGTGCTTAAGATTTCCATAAAGTATTCCCATTGCTGAAGCCTTTTACAATTCTGATTTAGGACCAGTATAAAGAGTAGAACCTGTCTGCAGTTAAGCAGTTGTGGATTGATATAACTTTAAGAGATGCTCTGTAGCTTGAGTTCCTCATTTGCCTTTTATGTGCTTTTTACAGGTGTTTGCCTTCGATCACTGCTTCTGGTCCATGGATGAATCAAACACTACAAAATATGCAGGTAAGCTATTTTATGTGCATTCAGCAGTGTAAATAATTTGAAAACGCATGAAAGCTTAGACTATTGTGGATATATTTTTTTAATGTTCTGTACTGAAATGCTCAAGGGACTTCACAAAAGCAGACTTCTTTTTTTTAACAGGGGTTTAGAGTTCTAGGTTCCTGCTTAAGAAAGAACATGAGCTTTAAGATGCCCAGTATATTGGGACAGGAAAGCTTTTTTTTCTTTACATGCAAGCTGTAGTGCTATCCCTCCCCCAAAAGAGAGCCTCTTCTGAAGATTCTTTTTGTCACCTAGGATTCAGAAATCAATTCTTGCTGGAGCTAGTGATGAAAGTGTGTTTTCTGTTCTTCTCATTCCTGAGCCTGTTTTCCTTAAATGGTGTGATTATTTTGCATCTTTCCAGTCATTCATATTTCAGTTGTTCAGGTTCCTGACGTTCTTGAGTGATCAGCTTTGTGATGGCTTCCTCCATAAGCTGGGCATTCTAAATTAGATTATCATCCCAGGGCTTAACTTTCTCATAACTGGATTAGTGCATTAACATTAATATTTTTAAAGAAAATTTACCTTGATTGTTACGGCTCTGTATGCCAGGATTTCAAGGCTGTGGTCTATGGAAAAGAGGGGGGGGAAAAAAAAAACAGCTTTCGGTTAAGGTACTCACATTAAGAAATGATATGGTCTGAAGGAAATCTTGAAGTTTGAATGTTTGTTAGAATGCATTTCTGACTTGAACCAAATCCTGAATCACAGGAAATGCATTGATTTGCTGTATTCCTTGCTTGTGTGAGCAATGTAGATTTCCTCAGGAAAATAATTTTGTTTTGACTTTCAGTGTCTGTGTTTGCACTGAACAGACACAGTGCACTGGACTCACAGTTCAAACTGGTCGATCCCTTGGAGCACACAACAGCTCCTTTTGTGTCTGCACAGCTAGACTTCCTCTTAAAGGAACTGGGTTATGATGCAAAGCCAGATGTTGCCTTGATGTGCCTCAAGTGTGCAGTTGAGAGCTGCTCATATCGGGTGCATCACGAGGCTAACCCACTTTTAGAGAAGACAGAGACCAGAGGAACACCTTTAACCAGTTAAACCTGTTCCTGTCTTAGTTTAATCTATCTCCAGGTGAATTGATTGAGATTCCAGGCTAACTTATTCTTAATTTGAATGAAAACTAGATTTCTATGTCCTCTTTGAGAAGTTGTGATAAAATTCTTTCTGACTGAGAACTGAAGCTGCACTGTGTAAATGATAGATTAACCCTTTCTCAGTCTGGACTCCAGAATGCTGCTACATCTTTTGTACTTTCTCACCATCTGCAAAGTTGTAAGATGTGTTTTTGCTCTTGCAGATAATTTGTCTGATAAAGGAAACAATTTTCCTCTTTTGTTTAATCTCAGAAATATAGTAAGACCATGAGCTTTAGACTGCATGTGAAAAGATCTAAAACAATTATTTTTCTGTATTTGTGTGATCTTGTGTCTTCCAGCCCTCACATTCTAGAACATAACGAATTTGGTAGAATATTAAACATAAATATATACATATATACATACATATATACATACATATACATATATACACACATATATATATACACACACACATATATATATATATATATAAATCTGTTTCAGTTACTGATTTGCTGACTTTGCTCACTTATTCTTGCACGAACGGATACTGTCCTATTCTACATTAGTGCTTCTTGTTCTAGAGCCAGCAAACCAAATGCTGAAGTGGTAAGATGTAGGCTTTTATATAATTGGAGTATGAAGCTGCCTTAAGACTCTTTCAGAGTTTGGCCTAAAGAAATGCAATTACTGGTTTTGACTGGGATTTTCAGTGATCCCTCTGGCTGTTCCTGTGGAACCAAATGGCATTGTTCTAGGCAGTTCACAAATACACATGCTGCCTATGTCCAGATATTATACTAGAGTCTGTTGCAGAGCTAACAAGCTCAGGGCTCCACACAAGCCACCTGGCAACCTGACTTTTAGAGCTGTAGAAACTGTAGTTTCATGATTGAATATTGGACCACAGCAGAGAATTGCTGATATTAAAGAATTATTTTTGCAAGCCTGGACAGCAGTAAGAGTCTACTGAAGTCTGCAATGAGGTAGATTTTTGAAAGGAAGGAAAGAAATCCTTCGTCTTGGGAAAGATTTGAGACATGGTGTGAATAAGTTCAGTAGCACCTAGGCAGGTCCATTCTAAGAACCCCACTCTTCACTTCGTATCTTCTTGTCTGTGGACATTCCTTAAACTCCTAAGCTGCATCACATTTGACCTGAAATCTCGGATCTGTTTCTGCTACGTTGTGCTGTGAAGCCAAACACCTGACTTTAGGCTAAGCTTGAATTTTGGGTGAAGAAGATATGCTGATTCCTGCTCTGCCAGCACCTGTTTTAAAGGGAAACAAACCACCCAACTGTCTTGAACAATTGTAGTCTCCCACCCTCATGAGTGGTCTTATGTTGTGGATTTTGGGCGGACAGAAGTGTCTGTCCATTTGTATTTCTGGCTTACCCAGTGCAAAAATATATTTGAAACCCAACCCTTTCCAACTGTTCCATTGATTTCTTTTTTTTTTTTTAAAGGAGTCTTGGCATGTAGGGCTTGATTTTAGGTGGTGCAATTGATGGCTGACCAGTACATTTCTGGAAAACTTAGTTTCTCAATATGACTTTAATTTAAGCAGTTAAACTACAGACATTGTGATGCTTAATTGTAAGCACTCCAGACCTTTTAGTATAACAGGGCTTTCAACACAAAGACCTCAGGGCTTTGTCAATACTGTCATGTTGAGCTACAGAAGTTAGACTACACCAGCTGTACCTGTTTTTTATTAAGATGACCAATACACCCCCCCCCCCCCCAAATTTAAAGAATTTATTCTAAAACTATTATCCAACACAGCTTTTAATAATTCTAATTACTGAGATCAAGTTTTATTTTAACTGCTAGATCTTGGAAGTAACTGCAATTATGTATTAAAATGTTCAGAGATAGAGGTTAAGCCATAGAAAGACATGACCAGCTTGAATTTTCAGTGTTGTTCATTAGAAGTTATTTGGTTTGGGTTATTTTCTTTGTATAAGAGAGCAGCAGTGAGATGTTCTATCTCTGCAGTCAGAATCTTGCTGAGCAAATCCATGCTAACATGTGGAGAGGCTCAAAACTGTTATCTGTATTTCATATTGACAAGTTGCTGATTACTGGGAATACTGGACATCTGAAAACCAAGCACCAGAACTAATCTTTATTTTGGTACCTCTTGACTTGTAAGTTTGTCAGTAAATGAGAGGACTTTGTGGAAGGTCCTCTCATATTAATGGTGTTTACTTTAAAAGCAATTTAATTGGAAAGAGTAGTCTCTCTTTTGCTCACCCTCCCTTTTCTTTCTTCTCTTCCCATCTGGTTGCTAGTCACGAGTCTAGTGATCTGGGAATATACAAACTTAATTTGTAAAAGTCATTGGCTTCATTCTGCAGATTGCACAAACATGTCCTGGGGTTTTTCAGCAATGTGTAGTTTTCCCTAGGAATGGGTTTGATCTGAAGGAATAGGGTTTAACATAGAGATACAAGAGAGAAAGTACTTAGATATCTCATTCTGAAAATGGTGTATTGTTGTAGTCATACATTTCAGAGTATTGATTTTTCTTTCTGTTTTCAGGATCTTTTTATCTTGCATGTTTTCCTAATTTAATCTTTCTAATAGTTTGTGTTCACTCCAAAGTTCTAGCTAAGAGATCTTCATATGCAGGTAATGTCAAGGCTTTCTTTTAAAATTATTAGTAATTTAATAGCCATTAGTAATATGTACACTGACATACTTTGCTGTTTTTACTTTGTTTTATAACTTTGCCTCTGAAATACCAGTCATTTCAGTAGGTGGAGAGCACATGAAAGAATTTCTTAGCTTCTGTGGTACATCCTTAAATGCCTATGGTGTGTGATAATAGCACACAGCCAGCACTGGAAAGTTCCAAGAACTAAGTGTATTAAAATGTAGTTCTGAGAAGTTCCTGTAGCTTTCAGATAAGTCTCGGATACTATCTGATACTGTTGAAATCTTCCCAAGCTTTAGTATGGCTAGTGCTAAGGAAGGAATGCTGGTAGTCTCCCTTTATGTGTCTGTGGGACACTGTCAGTGGGTGGCAGCACTGCGTCTGATGAGAAGGTTCTTGGGTTGGCCTCCTGAGGGAAGTGGCATCCTAGAGACTGAGAATTTCTCCTCTGATTTTTCTTGGATGTTCTTCTACTTTGACATCAGGCTTGTTAGTTGCACTTGCCAGAAGCTACAGATAATTTCTTGGAGCTGTGAAGGCAGTTAGAGCTGTCTGATGAAAGGAAAGAAGGTTTCCATGTTGTCTTGATGTTGTTTTTCTGGTACATCTTCAGGACAGAGTTGGCATCCACTGATGTCTATCAGGTTTTGATTAGCAATGCATCCCTAGAAGGATGATGTTACTGGGGGTTCTGCCAAATGTGTTGTGAGCATTTACAGCATAGTGCAATGTTGTCTGAAACTTCTTTCTTGCAATGTGCTTCCACCTTAGCTGTTTTGCTCCTTACAGTAGAGGAAGCATTTGGTCTTCAAATGAGATTATTTAGGCAGTAGTATGCATGCAGAGCTCACCAAACTGCGCTCTCCTTCCCCCTATGGGAGGAGGAGACAGGAGAATCTGCCCTGTGAAGGCTGGCAGCTCAGTACTCACCCCAGAAAGCCTTGGGTGTGCTTTCCTCTGCCTGGTGGCATGTGTATGTCAAGCATCTCTTATTTGCCCACGTTTTTTCCTCAAAAGATGGGAGAGGGAACAAGGGCTTACGATGTCAGGCCTCAGTTGCCACCTTAAGAAGCTATATGGTCTTATGCAGCTGGAAAATTGGGCCTAAAAGATTTGACAAGTAGGTTTAAGGGAAATTTTTCTGGAAACTAAATAGTGGTGGAATGAAAAGAGGTTTTTCTATGCTGCAAAATTGAATCAGAATTGAGTTAAAACCCCTTCTCTCTTCCCTAAGCACTTGGCATCTGTGGAAGAAAAGTCCTGTAAATAAGCAGAAATCTTAACTGCAGAACATGTAAGATTGTTTAGCAAAACCACAACAAAACTGCATTTTGTTTTGTTCTCTTACTTTAGGTGCACTTAGACATAATTCTGTATAACATAAATTGTAATCAATTTGCAGAACCTACTAATAAAATGCATGGAGGAAGAATTTATGTTGCATGATGAAATTATCTCCTGGATCATATAATCTTATGGGTGACATGCTCCTGCCCTTAGGAGCACCACCACTGCATGAGAAAAATAATAAAATACCTGTAATTGAAATTTAAATTCTTCTGTTCTTTTCTATGTTCTTTTCATTTAGAGACATTTTTTTTATTTTGGTAGCTCAACTGTTTCCTCTAAACATCATTCTTGAATGGCCTATTTGTCAATGCCTGGCTTGTTAAGCCCATAAAAACTTACCTGGAAAAAAAAAAAATATCCCATCTTGTCTGTGCAATTTGAACCGCCTTCTTCCTCTGGGCAATAAGAAATTCTGTAGGCCATCTCATCATTATCATGACTATGGTTAGTTTTGTAGTATTTTGGTATCTGTTTTTTTTCTTAGGAAGCACGGATGTTGTAATTTATTGCTAGTCAGAAGGGGACAATAAAGAATTTTTCCTCTTCTGACAAATGATTTTGTTCTTCACTCACAATAATTTTTTTTCTCTTAATGATTTTACTCAGCTTCAATCTTTACTTGATTTTTACGCTCTTCATCAGCAACGTAGTAAGTGGCTCCTTGCATCTTTGACTTGACGACCTCAAAATATGCCTTCAAGAGTTGGAAAGCAAATTTTTGTGTTGTACACTCTTATTAAACACTTGCACTGATTGGTTTCCTTCATGCATTCTTCAGTAGTTCGTTAGCATTCTCTACAGCTGTTTCCAGGAACATTGGTTTTGAACAGCACTCTCTCAACATATGATCATGCAATCATCTCATGATACACATGTTGAATGAGAAGTGAATTAATGTCCAGGGAAGAAAATGGAATTATTATGTAGTACAGCAGGCTTTTCTCTGTTTTTAACTCCTGTATTCAGTGTTTTGGAAGTCAGTCTGAACTGTGTTAATCCAAGAAGCAGTACTAATAATCTTTTGGTATCTCAGAAATACAATTGAAAAATACCTGACATCACTGCCTTAGTTTTTCCTTTATAGCAAAAGAGAAACTAGGCTAAAGTTAAATAGAAGTAATAGAGATTTTTAGTCTTACTTGCATACAGGAGAGCCATTCTACAAACAGGCATTCCATGGGTTGTACTACAGGTGTTCAGTGATCTACCATTTACTCAAGTATCACAGAAAGTTAATATTCTCAGGCAACATATATGCAGCTAGGTGTTTTCTGAAGTTCTATTTTGAGAGCTAAAGAAGTCCTATTGCACACATTGTACAATTGCTTCCAACTGGAAAAATGACAACTGCTAAAATTAAATGAGCTGAGATAGGTGACTTCGCCACTGTTCAGAATGTCATCAGGCAGTGTGTGTAAGTTTAAAATCAAGCACCAGAAGACATGTAAATGCTTTCCTTATCGCAGCTCTTCTTTTCGATGTGTATGCAGGTGGTTCAGAACTCAACAGACAACCTACCTATGACCATGTTTGTGGTGTACAAATTCTGAGCGTTGCTTTTTAAAACAAAGCAGAAAAATGTGTACAGTACTACCACAAACAAAAGAAATGCCCTTTCTGTTTTATCTCCTGCAGCTAAAAGATTGGAGCACATCTGAAATCAGCTTGGCTTAGAAAGATGACTTTTTACAATATGGAATGCTGTAGCTGATGTTTCAACTATAGAGATATAGATATATATATTTGTGCTCTCGAACTTTAAGAGACTGTTGACTCCTGTATATCCACAGACAGTTCTGTTTAAGTCTCTCACACTCATAATATACATTTCCTGCTTCAATGTCTTTGGGATGCTTCTGTCTTACTTCCAGCATTGCCTTAACATGGAGTAGATAAGAATGGGTTATACTGAAATCTGAAGCTATCTCCCAGGAGAACATTTCTCTTATTTCTACCGTTATGTTTGTTATATGCCTAATATTCTAGTTCACTAATGTGTTCATTGCAATTCTGTTGCAGAAGTCTTGGGTAAAGTTTATTATTATGAATTAGTTTGTTATGCATTAGAATGCATACAGACTGCAAAGTCTGCAATACGGAATTTAGATCATCTTTATTCTCTAAGCATTCACTTTACATGATTCATTTGAATCCACTCTTCTTTCACAGGAAAGCGAGCGCTATGTTTAAACACGCAGAGGTAGCTGTTGCACTGAGTTTCATGCATTGAGTTTCATTCACTCAGTTATACACGAAATCATTTGTTCCATTGTGCATCCATTAGTAAAAATAATCTCCAAAAATTTTTCTTGTTATTAAAGTTCACTGTTCACTTAAAAGAAACTTACAATTATTTTGTAGGTCAGGAAGTGGTGTTCAAGTGCCTTGGAGAAGGAATTCTTGAGAAGGCCTTTCAGGGATATAATGCTTGTATTTTTGCCTATGGACAGACAGGTAAGTGCTGCTTGTGCTGAAAGGAGAGGATGCTGCTTGTGCATGTGTGTGAAGTAGGAAGAGCACAACATAAATACTAAGCTTGATAATATTCAAGATCATAAATAGAAATACAAAGTTTAATGTTAAACTTCATATGATTTGTATTTGCATCACTTCTTTGGAGGTTGGTTTCTCATTTAAACACACAGTAACTTCAGCACAGCCATTGGCAGTATAAAGTTCTTAACACAGGTCTGTAAATATGCTCCTCACTGCTACCTCTTGAGGCTGCTTTGAAAGTGTGAAAGGAGAGGTTAGCAACCAAGGCTCATTCAGGCTTTTGTGTGTGTGTGTGTGTGTGTGTGTATGTGAGTGTTAAAAGGGAGGCCAAGTAATGGCTCTACTAAAAGAGACTGTTTAGATTTCTCTTTTTGTTTCTGTTTGTTGTAATGCAAAGAGTGAGCCTTCTGTCTAGAATAACACCCTGTTGCTCTGATACATGCATCTGGAGAAATTAAAACATGTTTCATGAACAAATGAGTAACTCAGAAACCACATTCTAAAGCATTTTCTTCTCCTTTCTTCCCTTAGGTTCAGGAAAATCCTTTTCAATGATGGGTAATGCAGAGCAGCTGGGTCTGATCCCACGGCTCTGTTGTGCTTTATTTCAGAGAATCTCTGTGGAAGAAAATGAATCTCATACTTTTAAAGTTGAAGTGTCCTATATGGAAATCTACAATGAGAAAGTCAGAGATCTACTTGACCCAAAAGGGTGAGTAGCTTTAGCCTTCCTCTCCACCTTAATTGCTTTTATTTGAAACTGTTAAGTAGAAATAAATTCTGGAAGTCCTTGAGATTTTTCATAATGTATGTTTATATATCTTTTTTTACAAAGGATCAGGTACCAAACATGAGAGAGAATATCAGTGTAAAGTTTGTGTATGAAATACTACCTGGTGTGGATCAATCTAAATATACAATATAATAGTATAGTGTTGCAAAGTGAAGTACTGCAATACCAGAAATCAAAAGCTATGTAGAAGAAAAAGCTGGGGTATATTTGTCATATGACCCAGACTTTGCTCAAGTATAAATTTTCATCAGTTACAAACAGTGTGAACTTTATTTACAATTTGATTTTCCTGGTTTAGAATTTGGACTTCTTGAATGGGAAGGAATAACACCTCCAGATATACTCTTAGCACTCTACTTCCTTGTGTTTTGTTGACTCAGAAATACTGAGTAGGTTCTCTAGCATGGAGATGTCTAGACAAGAGATCAGACAAGATGTCTGATATGTGTGTCTTCTTGATTCTTGAGCATTACTGCACTAGATGAAGAAACATGCAACTTAATTAAAAGGCGTATTTTACACTTCATTAACATATTTTAGTAAAACTTGGAAAATGCATGGAGAAATGAATCTTCAGCAAATGAGAGAGGTTTTTTGTTTCCTTCTGTCACTATTCTTTCTTCCAGATGAAGTATTTTAGCTTTTGCTACGGCCACAAATACTGTGGTAGAATGATGCTCTGAAAGTAATTTGTGTGTTCTGATTGAAACCTGTCAGATTGATATTTTTATTCCCATTATTGCTTGAAAAACAAAAAAGCTACATGCTGTGAAATGATAAAAATCTTGTGTATTGTAGATGTTAATCTCTGTCTTTTAGTTGAAATGAAGTTCACAGTAGTGGTTTGTGCATAAAGGCTATTTATTCCGTAGGAGTCGGCAGTCTCTTAAGGTTCGAGAGCACAAAGTGTTGGGACCATATGTAGATGGCTTGTCTCAGCTGGCTGTTACGAACTTTGAGGTAAATCTGAACCTATGAAAGATGTGGAAACAGCATCTGTGTACCTAAGTGATAGGAAATCATATTGTAGGTAAACTAATGCCCACCCAGAAGTTTTGTTTTCCTAGGTGTTTGCAGCCTCTGACAATCGCAGGTACCTCCTCCAGTGCTTCCAGGGATATTTATGTCATGTAAAAGCTTTCATTTCACTTTCATGTTGGTTAAAAATATAGCAGTAATATCACTTCATTTTGCAGGTTCTCATTTATGTAATAAATACCCAGCACGTCACATTTTCTTGCCATGTTTTCTTGAAATCTGAGGCTTCCACACTAAGAAAATTAGGTCTTTCAGTGTGCATTCTGTTGCTTTTGTTGTTGTTGAATACACTTACTTTATAGAAGTATATTGCATGAGAATGCACAGCATAGTTTATTATAGCTGCTAATTTAAGTAATGACAGCATCTGAGCCCAGCTGAGTTACTAAAATGCATTCAAATATAACAGTATTGTAGAATCCGATGAACTTCACTGGATGCAGAGGAGTTGCAGTGATGCAGTTCTGTGAATTGCATAGCCCTTTTTACAAGGAAGCTGTTTTAGGAAATCTATTTGGGTTTTCTTTTGTTACGCTTTTTTCTTTGTTTCGGGTTGGTTTATTAAAAAATCAATTTTTTACAGTGTTGTGTGAAAAACATTTCTCATCTAATGGGAATACTTATTTCTCTGAAGCACCTGTCATATCTAATGTAAAAACCAATTTTGCAGCTTTTATGGTAAATTGCATACTTTGACGTTATTTGCTTGAATTTTAGAAAATTTTGCTCATACCTAATTTTTTTCTGATGACTTATGAAAGTGTCTTGGATACTCAGCAAACAGATATATGAGAATCATCTTTATTTTTACTTGAATAGAAGGATACAGGCTTCAAGTGGGGCAACACTTTGAGCCAATTCAGAGAGTATGGCTTTAATGCAGTTCAGGAAAAAAAAAGCATTGTGTTTACTTCTGTAAGTAGATCTGTTTGCCTGATTACTGGCATTGCACAATATGATTTGTAATGTGGGTTTTGCCAACGTATTTCAGCAACAGATAAGGAGTATGTGTACTGAATATTGTTGCTGGGCTTTTGGTGCACTGCTTAAAGCAAAGTTACGATTTAACATTATTCTGCAAAATTAGATCTCTTCTCTACCAATGCATTCTTGAAGGCCCTCAAAGTGAGGTTGTTTGGGACCTTGAGCAGCCTGACCTAATGGGTAGCAACGCAGCCACAGCAAGTGGGTTCAAATTGGATGGTCCTGAGGATCCTTTCCAACCGAAACTATTCTGTGATTTTCTGATATCAAAATGTAAAAAGAATTTTCTCTTTAATTCTACATTCTCTTCTTCTCTCTCCTCAGAAATACTCACTCTTCCATTTAGTCAGGAATTTTGTTCAGCAAGCACAAAACTTGCTTCCATCCTGACACCACTTTTTATTCTTTATGCTCTAGGATATTGAGTCATTGATGTCAGAGGGAAACAAATCACGAACAGTTGCTGCAACCAACATGAATGAAGAAAGCAGCCGCTCTCATGCTGTATTCAACATCATAGTGACTCAGACACTGTATGACCTGCAGTCTGGTGTATGTGTTTCTGTTGTTTTAATTTATGACGTTGTGGAAAATTCTTCTTCTTTATTCTGTTCAACTGCTGAACGATCTGTTTGTTTTGAATAACAGTCAGTTAAAACAAGCAGCTTGTGCTTTTTGCATGCATTTGTAGATGCATCAGTAATATCACTTAACATGACCTAAAACTCTGACGAGGCAAATGGCTTACCATTTTAAAACTGAAGCTGCCTCAGTTCTCAAGACCATTCAACTTGCTGAAGTGCTCTTGTATTTCAGAGTTGCTATGCTAAGTGATATTGTAGTATCTCTATTGATTTGTTCCATCTTCTCAGTTAAGACTTCAGCATAACTCACCGTATTTTTTTTTTGTTTGGTACACATGCACAATTTTCTTAGCTATGCTGCTACTTTTAATGCTTTGGAGTAATCTAAGTAATGTTGGCAAGAACCTAAGGTTGAGAGAACACCAGAAGCATGCCAGAGAAAACAAAAAAAAAATTAGATGACTTTAAGATTATATTGCCTCTGTTAAATCTGTCTTAGGTGTTAACAGTTGCTGACATTAATATATTTTAATGGCCTGCTGTGGCAGGGAAGTTTTTGATGTTAACACATGGCTGCTTTGCCTTCATGAGTGGTTCTGCCCTTTAGTATAAAGTGTATGACTGGCTCTTAACAGACTGTAAAGACTGTCAGAATTTGTTCTCTCTTATCTTGATTTTATGCTTCAACTTGCATTATTGTTATAGAAAGCAGTCTTTAATGGTGCTGGTGTAAGGTACGTTAGCATTTTATGCTCATGAATCTTGTTTTTCTCCCTTATTTGATCTGCACAGAATTCTGGAGAGAAGGTCAGCAAGGTCAGCCTGGTGGATTTAGCTGGTAGTGAGAGAGTGTCCAAAACAGGAGCTGCAGGAGAACGTCTGAAGGAAGGCAGCAACATAAACAAGTAAGGCATTGGCATAGGTTTTAAAGTATAGTGTTTTAAGAACAACCATTGCTTCCTCAGTCTCCTGTTTTGGTGTGCTTGTTACAAGTTGGTTCAAATGCTGCATCTAGTCAGACACATCCCTTTCAGTTGCTCTGTACTGAATACCATCTGTTTGGGTTTTTTTTTTAACATTAGTACAGAGACTTTGATTCATAGTTGACTCAGATGATAGCTGTATGAATATTATCTGGAAAAAGTGACGGTAGCACTCTTTAATTATGGATGTACCTTTTGTGATTCATTTATCCACCCTGTCCCCAGGCTCATGTGTTTGTCTCATCGTATGCTCAAGGAATGCAAAGTTGCAGAGTTGAATGGCTTTGTTCCAACAGGTATTAAACTGTGTAAGAGTATAATTCACAGTTCAAGAAAACCAGATCAGAATGAAACTATGTAAGTTTAACGTTGCCTTGGGCATCTGTACTCAAGCAATGACAAGTTTCCAGGCACTTTTTTTAAACTGTAATTACTGTGTTGTTGCCCAAAAGCAAGACTTTAGCACAATATTACCATTGTCTTACACATACTAATTTTCCTGGGAAAAAAAAAATCAGACTCTTAATATTAAAAGCTACAAATTCTGTACTTAACTTTAAAATGTTGCAAAAGGTTATGTTATTCTGAAGTTAACAGTGAGAGCAAAAAAAACATGTTTGAACTGCATTCATGCTTAAACTGATTTTAAGTTACCTGCTTTAATAGTTTGAACACGCTTGCTCTTCACAGCATAATCTGTAATGTATTACGAGTTTTAATGCTTCAGATTGGTAGGTGCACTGGCATAGTACTCATGAAAGAAAATTACATGGCTCTGTTTCTCTAATGGCAGGTACTGAACCTTTACCCTGCAGGTTACTAGTTAAATTTGGTTTGATTTAGCTAGAAACTGTATTTACCTTTTGCATAAATAGGGGTGAAATTAAATGTTTCTTTTTAATTCTTGGGGAAAAATTCAAATGCCGACTCCCGCAACAGCTATTAAGAGATTGAAAGTGTTGCTGGAGATACAGAAAGATTTAATTTTCTTTTCTAGCAAAATGTTTGCTTAGTGTAAACAGGGAAGGTTGTTTTTGCCATTTCTTTTTAATGATACAGGACTTCAGATACAAGCACCAGATTTCTCTGTAAAAGATATTTCAAAGAGAAAAGCTGTCCGCTCTGTCTTCTTGCATCAGTTCCTATATTACAAACCTCAGTTATCTCAGACCATTTTCTAAGCATTCTCTGTTTGAGATCTCATTTGGAACTGATAGGCAAACAATTCTTAGTTTTGTGCTTTAATGTCTATTGGACTTAGTTGCTGAGTTTAATGAATTCTGTCTTCACTGGAAGCTTCAGAATTGGTATGCACGTTTTTATCAGAGTAGTTTGTTGCAGAACATTGTACGCAGTCTTCTTTTCCATAATGTGTACAACATACCATGCTTATTAGGGACAGGCAGTAATCTTTCTGTAGTAATATAGACTACTTAAACCACGTACCTTGCTATGCCACCTTCCTTTTTTTTTTTTAAACTTTTATTCTTTCATAAAATAGCAGTAATTTGCATTGGTAGCATCAACTGTTTATTCAGATAAAAACAGACCTACCGTAACTACCTGGCAGTTAAATTTCTTGCTTGTTCTTTGTTTTGATGCCTTGAAGAACAGGCAAATAACGTAACTGTTTCTGTATTTACAAGACAGGAAGATTGTACTTTTGCTGTGCTTCCAAAACTTCATAGTTTGATAGTCTGCAGATTTCTCTGCTGTTTCTTCATGAAACCAGCTTAGGGCCAATGTCACTGCTGCCTCAGTCTCACAGCTTCCTGTACTGTAAACTCTTCCACATATTGGGTCAGCATGACCCAGTACAGAGTGGATGTGCTGAACTGCTCTGTTGCTTACTGAAACAGCTGAGAGTTGTGTGATCTTGTTAATGGTTTTGTAAAGCTGTAATAAGGAACTTCCACTTTTTCTCAGCACTGGTGTGAAGTTGCCTTGGGTCATGGCGGTGTTTCTGGGCATCTGCTGTCTTTATTTTCCTGGTTCTTGTGAGACTTTCCAAACTCGTAAGAAAGCTGTGTGTGCTTGTTAATGCCTAGGTGCTCTGGTTCCTATATTGAGTGTAGAAATGCAGATGTTTAATGATCTATTGTGTAGTAGAAGAATTTCTAGAGTACAGCAGCAGGAGGAAATGGAGTAAGCAAGCTGTCAGTTAGTGGCTAGGAAGAATGTTCTATGAACAGCCTATAATTTTAACTGTGATTAGAAATATTGTAGCTATTGTCATTTTAAGTTGAGAATGCAAAAATAAGTTTTTTAAAGTGTAAAGATGGGGTGGGAGGGAATGTTTTTGGGAGAAGACTGGCTTCAAGCTCTTTTAAGAGGAGGGTGTTCATATTCACAGGTTTTATTATTAGAAAGAAGGGCTTCGTCTGCTTAAAAAAAAATTGGAAGGAAAGTGTACAGAAGTAGCTTAAATGGATGTCATTCAGGGACAGAGTTCTTCCCTGCAGAAAAGAACCACCTGCCCTTGGATGCTGCTGACTCAGATCCTTGCTGGGAGCGTGCAAGCTTCCAGATGCACGGTAGCAAAGACAGCCTGTTCACACTTGATGAAGAGGGTCAAGGAGAACAGAAAGCATGCAGAAACAGCACTTTCCCATGGTCTTGCACCATGTAAGCTTGCTCTGTTTCTTCTGAACTGCCTCAGTCTGTTGTGCACTGTTGGCTCGGGCCTTTTGGTTGATTCATTATGTAGGTGGTTTGAGATAGGATCAAAGTAATGACAGATCTCTGATGCATCATCCAGCATAAAGCAAAGCAGCTACTGAGTCCTGTAATTATATTGCACTGCCATTTCTTTTAGTACTTCCCTTAGAATCTTTTAACAGCTTTGTATTATGAAATCTTAAGTAGAATACTTAAAGTACACCAGTTTGGTTGTTAATACAGACGTTAATAGTCTTAATAAAAAAAATGGTATTTCATTATATTTCTGGAGCAGAAATATTACTTCCTTTAATCTGGTGTTAATAAACAAAGTTATAACTTGCTAATTACTACAACACAGTGCCTATAACTAAGACTTAAAATTGCAGCCCTGTTGTGAAATAATTATCAATGGTGGGCCTGAATCCCTGTTTTTCCTATCCCCATTTCGATTTCTTTAAGGTAAGAAAAATATTCTTCCCCCTCCCTCACTTTTTGGCTTTGATTTTCACATTTTTTCTCATTTAAAATCAGTAAGAGGAATTGGAGGAACGTAAATTGAAGTGTGTGGGTTTTGTTGTTTTCTTTTAACTTCATAATCCTCGAAGGTGGACTCCACTGGGAGTGTGCTGCTAGTGCTTTTTCACTTATGCTGTAGGAGTCTGCTAGGGAGCAGCATGTAGCATCCTGCTGTTTGTTCTCGCATGTTTAGCATGCTGTCTTCCCAGTCTGTGCAGGTGAAAGACTGAAAGACTGGAGACAAGAACCAATTCTCCCTCCCCCATCCTCTTCCCACAGCCTTTTGGGAGTTGTAAGGTTTTTGTTTGGGCAAAAAAAAACCCCAACCCTAAATTAACTGTTCGTTTTGCTGTGAATTTTTCAGGCATGGGTTGGAAAGTTATCCTTTAGACAAATTTAGGAGCTCCTTAAGGTTCTTTTCAATTTAGTTTTGCTTTCAGGTCTTTACTGTCTTCATGCCACTGTGTTTCCTGGTGTTATGCACATCTTTTGTGACTTTTTTAACAGATTGTCTCACCTTAACCTCACATATCTTTTTTGAAATATTCTGCAATGTTTTTGTCGTTCATAAATGAATGAGTTCAGAAGCACTAGGATTTTCAAAAAGCATTAAGACTATGTTACGATTAAAATGGCTCTAGTAGTTTGAAGGAACTCAAAAGGATGGAGTGGAACGGTACAATCAAAGTTTTATTTAACTATCTAATCACAAGGCTACAAGTTTCCTTGGTAGTTATGCTCAATTATCCAGATGTTCTTTACAAGTATGATGGACCAGTATGCTCTTGAGTTCCAGCATTCTGTTTTTACTACTCTTTAGGCATCTGGTTATTGCTCTCAGGTTCTTAATCCAGCTCATTATCTTAAACTTACTTGCTCCAGTGTCATTTAGTTTACACAAGGTCGTATAATAATTGGAATATATAATGCATAGATGCTTTGCAAAGGTTGCTAATAGTCAAACACTTGTTGATGGAAGCGGTACATGTACCAAAATGAACAAGCTCTTAGTTTCTTCAGTATTCTAGAGTAATGGGATGTTTGTGTACCAAGCAGTTTGGAGAATTTTTCTGTTCTCATGTTTACATTCATGCAACATTTTTATGATTGTGATATTAATCTATTCTTCCCCATAAAAGATCCTAGTGAGGCATCACCTCGACTGTAAGTCAGCTCCTTTGAAAAGGGATATTGTTCTCTTCTGATGAGCAGTCTTCCACTATCATGTAATTGCTGGTTAGTTACTAGGTAACTCACCAGACTAGTTCTTCTGCACCATAACTGACTTTGTCTTGTAGATTCCTCCTTATGAGTATAGTTCAGTTTTAGTCAGCCGTTAAACTAGTGCTCTTAAAATGTTGTTCCTAGAGACGGGATTATTGCTGCACTGCCAATGCTAACTCCTAATAGTGTCATGAGGCAGTGTCCAAGATGGAAAGGTTCTTAGTCTCTGAGATAAGGTAGGTGTCTAATCTAAAGCTGTTCTTAGGAGAAAGTTTTTCACACAGGGTGGTGAGGCACTGGCACAGGTTGCCCAAGGAAGTTGTGGATGCCCCATCCCTGGAAGCATTCGAGGCCAGGCTGGATGTGGCTCTGGGCAGCCTGGTCTGCTGGTTGGTGACCCTGCACACAGCAGAGGGTTGGAACTGGATGAGCATTGTGGTCCTTTTCAACCCAGGCCATTCTGTGATTCATTCTATGATTCTCCATATACTGACGCAGCCTGCTTTACAGTTATCAAACTATGATACCTAAATGTTTCAACCTGGTCTTCGTGAAACTTTGTTAGTACTAGGTAAGACTGAACACTGTACATAACTGTTTTTTGTTTCAAGTATGCAGCTTTAATAGATGCATTGCCTTGTTTTGATCTCCCTTGGTCATTTCCAGCTCAAATTATTTTATAAAAGCTGGATGTGAAATTTTGCAGAGCACAGATTAAACCATTCTGTCTGTTTTATTAAATGTACTTTTGAAGTACGTGTTCAAAGCTGTTTTGTGCTGTTGGCTTCATAGATCCCTTTCAACGCTTGGGTTGGTTATATCATCACTTGCTGATCAAGCAGCAGGGAAAGGGAAGAATAAGTTTGTGCCTTACAGAGACTCTGTACTGACTTGGCTTCTCAAGGTAATTAATATTTTCTGTTCAACATATTCATAAGCTGTTAGCTTAATAGGTTGTAGCATAACTGTGTACTTAAGAGATTGTAATCTTTTTTAAAGAAGTGAGCAAAGGAGGTCATTGCTACAAGCTATCCCAAGTAATATATTGAGATGAGCATTTACTGTGTTAATTGTATGTGAAGTCCTATTTGGTGAATTTTCAATTGCATTGGGACTAAAGCTGATGGAGTTGGTTGGGAATATTTATGGATCGTACTGATCAGTTTACATCAGAATGTAAATCAGTGTCCAAATTTGTATTCTAAGTATCTTTGTGAAGAGACAGTATAATCTCAGAACAGTTTTTAATTCTCAAATTTCTGTGGCTGTACTCTACAGGACAATCTGGGAGGAAACAGCCAAACTGCCATGATAGCCACAATTAGTCCAGCAGCAGACAATTACGAAGAAACACTATCTACTCTAAGATATGCAGACAGAGCCAAAAGGATAGTTAATCATGCTGTGGTGAATGAAGATCCAAATGCCAGGGTCATCAGAGAATTACGTGAAGAAGTTGAAAAACTGAAAGAACAGCTCTCACAGGCTGAGGTAATGTTATTCATGGTACAAAATAAATTGAGTAACCTGAACAAATGTTGAACGAGCTGGAAGACTGGATTTATGTTGAAGTCCTTCAAAATCAGAAAAGGAGTCTTACATTTATTTAGAAAAAAAAAATAATAACCTTGTTTCCTGAGTTTGTTTCTTTACAGTAACTTTAAATGAGGACAACATTGTACAGGTGTTGATCTGTGTCAGAATAGACTGTTCTTGAAAAACTTTGTGTCATGTAGTAAATGAAGCAGCACAGATAAGAGCTTCAAGAGAACTTAATTGAACGTACTTGCTAGCAGAATTTTCTGAATTGGTGGGCTATATATTCTTATTATGCCAAACGGAAAAATGAGAAGATGTAAATGCTGGTACTGGATGACAAAATATGTGGGACATTTCTGTCATTGACATTTGTAAAAATTTATCAAGGATCTTTAAAACTGCAAAACCAAAACTAGCAGTATTGTATTGGCGGAAGAGTTAATGCTGTGTGACTGCTGCATATACTAAAAATACATTTCTAATCAGAGCATAAATTATCAGTGTAGAAGTACTTTTGGTGATATCTGAGGAAATGGGGCACTGTAGTATAGGAAAACGTTTCTAATATTTTCTGGCAACACGTAATAGCTGTGGGGGAAAAAGAATACCAGAAGTATGTCTTATGGTAAATTGGAGTGGTGTTTAAACTTTACATTTGTCTAAGAAGTCACATTGCCTATACAAGCAGTCCCTTATAGGATCAAATGAGGAAAACTGCCATATGGAAAAGGAACCATTCACTTTTTTTTTTTTCCAAATAGAAATCTATTGTAATTCTGTATTTTAAATAATAAAATATTCTAGTCTGTTCTTAGTTTTGTTGGCAGACTGTGGCTGCCAACAGGAAAGCAGGAGGTTGCTTGTAGTTTTACTAATTTTTTAAAGCTTTTTCTCTTCTTCTGTCTCTTCAACTTTCTGTTGAAAACAATCACATGAAGTTATAGGCCAGCACATTGAGCTCTTATTTGGAGTGGAACATATTCAATCCCCTTGCTTTTCTTTCCTATTGTGAAATGAGAAGCCTGTGTTAGCTTCAGTGCATGCCTTCCTTCAGAGGTAATCAATGGTGTCATTCTTAAATGCTTAAGTGAAACTCTAGGAACGCTTACAAAAGCAAGATAGAATGGAAAGCTAAATATCAAGAGGAATTTGTGTTTAAAACTATTATTGGAAGGAAGGCTTTGGAGTTGAACTTCAGTCAACTCAGACTTAAGAAATGTAAAATACTCAGGTATTTTTATACAGACAGTGAAGATTGAGTGGCCAGGCCTGCAGATTTTGTTGGCCTGTGTAGTTCCATTAGCCTATGTAGTGCTGTGTAGACCTTTAGTTGTTTCAAATCAGGACGTGTTATAGGGTGATTTCTTAAAGAGAAGGATTTGAGTGTCACCTGATGAAGGACTGAACATGAGCTGGCAAAGTGCACTTGCAGCCCAGAAGGGCAAATGTATCCTGGGTTGCATCAAGAGAAGCAGGTCGAGAGAGGTGATTCTGCCCCTCTGCTCTGTGCTGGTGAGGCCTCACCTGTAGTACTGCATCCAGTTCTTGGGTCCCAGCAGAGGAGGGGCATGGAGATGGTCGGAGGGCTGGAGCACCTCCCCTGTGAGGACAGGCTGAGAGAGCTGGGCTCTGCATCTTGGAGAAGAAGAGGCTCCAGGGGGACCTTCTATAGTGGCCTTCCAGTACCTGAAGGGGGCCTGGAGGTAAGCTAGGGAGGGACTTTCTGTAAGGGCATGTAGTGACAGGGCAAGGGGAAAAGGTTTTAAAATGGAAGAAGGGTATGTGTTTATAGTAGATGTTAGGAAGAAATTATTTACTGTGAGGGTGGTGAGACACTGGGACAGTTTGCCTGGAGAGGCTGTGGATATTCCCTTCTTGGAGGCTTTCAAGGCCAGTTGCATGGGGCTTTGAGCAACCTGGTTTAACGAGAGGTGTCCCTGCTTTAGGTCCCTTGTGACCCAGACCATTCTATTGTTCTGTCCTTTTCCTTTGCTAATGACCTGTTTCTTCCTTTTCTGTCACAAAATACACAGGAAAATAGCTGAAACCTATCCTATATCTACAGCATTTGATGTTCTATTGGCTGTGTTCAGTTTCTCTTTTTCTAAGCAACTGTTGCAATGTGAACTGTACCTTAAGAATTTACTAATCCCCATCTTTTAGGCCATGAAGGCTCCAGAACTGAAGGAAAAATTGGAAGAGTCTGAAAAGCTAATAAAGGAATTAACTGTCACTTGGGAAGAAAAGCTAAGGAAAACAGAAGAAATTGCACAGGTATTTCAGAAATTTTGAGAAGAAAAGGTCAGATATTCATTGAGCACAAGTCAGATGAATTTCCTGAGCTCTGGTGAACTATGCTGTATTCCTTTTTTCTGCTCTCCGTTTTCTTTCAGTCTAATTTTCATTAGAATAAATGTAGTTTTATCATGGTGTAATTGATAAAGGCTAATATTTCATTTGAAATTAGAACACGAAAATGCATTTGAGATGTTCTTCTGTAATGGGATCTTGAACAATTTCCCTTGGAATGGCTAAGAATACCAAGAATTACAAAAGGATTGGAATTTTGGGTAGTGTTTGTTCTTTACATTTGCTGTGGCTTATAGTGTTTTCTTAACCAGAGAAAGGAAATGAATCCAGGTATTCACTGAAGTTTGTTTTTTATTATCATACTTGGAATAAGACTTTGGGATTTCAGTGTATCTTTCCATCATTTCTACCATCTGTAGCTTGAAGAGTGACTTCTGTTGGTTATCCTTCTAGTCTTAATGTTCCAGAAGCACACTTTGGTGCAGTCACTGCTAAATAAACAGACACAAAAAAATGCAGAACCTAACTGGCCAAACCCAAAACAGCCAAGAAAAAGATAAAGCTATGACAGAGCAAATGAGATGTTTAAACCAAGCAGATGCTTTAGCTGCAGTAATAATAATACTGGAAAACTGTAAGCCTAAACTGCGACATGCTCTTTCCAAAATTATCTGACTTATCTTCCTTTTCACTGCAATTGAGATTAGTTTTTAATAATATAAAGATTCAAAGCCACGCTCTGTAATGCCTGAGTACCTCTGATATAGTCATTAAAGCATGTGTTTGAGGATGAAGTCTAACCTTTTGTTATTGGTGTATAAAAATTAATAATATATTTGATCACTATCCTAAGTTCTGTTTTTCTGTTATAGCAATACTAAGGGTGTATTAATCTTCAGCTCCAGATGCTGTGCTTTTATTTACTTGGTATTGGTATACTTGTCTCTACATATTGCAGCAGCCAAGATTAATCTATTTTTGTGCTTGCAGGAGAGACAAAGACAGCTAGAGAGCATGGGAATTTCCCTAGAGTCTTCAGGTATCAAGGTTGGAGATGACAAGTGTTACCTGGTGAACCTGAATGCAGACCCTGCACTCAATGAACTTTTGGTTTACTATCTGAAGGTAAGAGTACATACAAGATGTTCTTCCATTCTATGTAAACACTTATTGGTTTTGATTTCTGGCTCGATTTATAATTCAGAGTGTATTTAGATTGATAGGACTAGTTGCACTAAAGTAGAATAGGACTCCTCTTGCTGTTCATGTTTACTTTTTCCCTTGCAGTTCAGCTTCAGTATTTTCCTAATTGACCTACTGATTGCCAACAGTGGAAGAAGTATTCAGTATTTGCCAGAATTGAGATAAATACTAGGTTTTTTACTTTTTGGACTAAAAAGCTTTTCTTCCTGAAGTAAGGGCCTGGTGTAAGATGCTTCTTTTTGTTAGTGAGTTGAGAATTTTCTTAAATATTCAGTGAGTGTAAAGGGATCTTGTTTAGCCATAATCGTAGGAGTAACCATAGGCTTCAATGGGAGAAAAAGCTTTAAGAAAAAAGAAAGGAAAAAAGGTGCCAGGTGAGGAGGGAAAGTGAGAAGGAAGCCCTGTTAAAAATATGCTGAAATATATTTTCCTTGTTCTACTATCTTCTGTATCATTCAGTTTAGAATAGTCTTCCTGTCAGAGTTTCAAATGCAAACCTAATAAGGCAGGCTGAGTAGGAAATACTCTTGTTAACAAGGTAGAAAAGGCTATCTTATCTGTTTTATGGGTATTTTTCTGCTTTAGTGGTTGAGATAAGGCTTTTATATTTGAAGAGTAGCAAATAGAGTACAACGTACAGTAAAATACAGTTTTTCAGCAAGATTTACAATATGATTTGCAGTTATGTGGAGATTAGTATGTTTAGCTGCATTATTAATATAGTTGTCTTCTGGAAAGCCGACAATTGTGTCTCTCACTTTCCCTGTTATCCTTTGTTCCACATGGCTGCATGACATGGCTTGTTTTCTTCTCTATATCATTGCTTGTTTGCATGTGTAGTCTGGGAATATTTTAAAATCAGAATTTGTCTATCAGCTGCTTTATTTTCCTTTGCTTGAAGCAGTAGGAAGATCAAGTGCAGAGCAGAACAGAAGTGTATGAGTGACCTTTCCAGTCCTCAAATCTACTATGGCACCATCTCTGCTCTATAAAAATATCTAGCAAAGGACAACATGTAGATGGTGGAGCCTCAGTACTTCAACTAATATTGCTTTAGTTATGTAAATGGCAATAGTTTGCTTCTCTCTTACTAATAGCTTATTTTCCAGGATCACACAAGAGTTGGTGCAGATACCTCTCAGGACATACAGCTCTTTGGTATAGGAATCCAACCTGAACACTGTGAGATTGATATTGCTTTGGATGGAGAAGTCACACTCACACCAAAAGAAAATGCAAGGTAAGGATGATCAACAACACTTGTTTGCTCCTCAGCAAAGTGTTTGCTTTTCATTACCAGAAGATGACTTGCATGTGTTTTTATCTTACCAAGTCAGAAATATCTTTCTTTTTTGATCAATGAGTAGCTGTGGTATAAGTGACTTCAGAGATAGAACTAAGATTTCCTCACACACCCCCACATGCCACTGCCTAATGACCAGCTGTCAGTGGTTTAGCTCAGAATAAACCATCACAAGAAAGAAATCATTAGAAATGAGGAAGCACTGCTTATTTATATATTGGCTGGTAGCAAGGTGACAGAGTTGCTCCTGGCTATTTCAACCTGATGATGGGATAGGAGGCTGGTTCTCTATTTGGGAGGAGAAAACTTGCCTCTGAGAAGTTCCTTCTGTAAAGCTCCGTATTTTCTGAGAGAAGAGGTGAGAAGAGAGATCCAAAGGCCACCACTACTACTGTGTCTATTAAATATGTGTTGGGAAGTCATATTCTTCTTTTGTTTCTGCTGTGGATTCTTGCATAGAATTCTAAATGTCTTTATCACTTAATCTCTGACAAAAGATATGCAGTACTATTGTCTTAACTTTACTTTTTAGTTACTTACAAGTATGCAATTTAGATCCTAGGGTCTTTACTTATAGTTGAGTGCCTTGTATGTTAGCAGTATGTTTTACATATACGGATTGCCCTGTACCTTGGAGAGCTCTGTCAGCAGGGTTTATATGCAAGTTTGTAGTTTTCATAAGAAACAAGTAGTGACCCAGTTTCAAATATAGGCAATAAAAAGAGAATTCAGCTAACAGTAATCTTATCTGTGTATTTACTGAGAATTTGCAACAGTCAGAGCTGAAATGGAAAGAGGTTTGATTTTTACTTCTGATGTGAGGAATCAGACCAGTAACTTTCTCATTCATACTTCAATGAGAACCCAGGTGATTTGTACATTGTGTAATATAAATCACTGTCTGTACGTGAGAGAAACAATACTTCTCAACCATTCAGTTTTAGGATTTTTCTGAAGTTGTATTTTCTTTTTTCAGGTCCTGTGTAAATGGTACGCTGGTATGCTCTGTCACTCAGTTATGGCATGGAGATAGAATATTATGGGGAAACAACCACTTTTTTAGGTAATAGTTTATATTTATTTACCAGCTTTCTTACATTTGGTCTTTTTTTCTCTGCACTGTTCTTCATAAACCTTTTAGAAACTGAATTTTTATTTTTACACAGAATCAATTTACCAAAGAGGAAAAGAAGAGATTGGCTGAAAGACTTTGAGAAAGAAGCTTTGTTAGGAGAGCATGATCTGGATGCAGCCAGTGAAGCTTCTTCAGAGCCAGACTACAACTATGAGTTTGCTCAAATGGAAGTTATTATGAAGACACTGAATAGCAATGGTAAGAGAACTGTCACTTAAGAAGTCCAAAGATATTTTTTTGTGGAGATCATTTAATAAATTCAGAATGTAACTTAATTTCTAGGAAAAAAAAAAAACCAAAGTGATACAGTTGCCCTGTGGCATTTTCAGCAAAAGGTGTTTAACAGAAATATCAGGTGTAAATATCCACTCAGTTGTAAGTTTTCTTACAACTGAGTGGATATTTACATATAAATGTGTACATATATATGTGCACACATACTGTTTGGGTGATCTTTGGTATTGTCACCCTTCAAAAAGATTTTGTTGCCTGTGTTAAAGCCTTGATATAAGTATATATAAAATATATTTATGTATATATACTTACATAAACATTTAATTACTGAGCAAATGATCTAAGAGGTGAGAAGTTTAGCTGAGGCAGCTACGAATTTGCTTCTGCCCAGGCATAGTTTCATCTGTATGTCTGCTAATCTTTATAGTGCAACTGAAATGTAACTGTGCAGGTAAAATCATCGTCTAAGTCCTTTTGACTTTGAGTTTTGCAGGTTATTGCAGATAGAAATGTGCTTTGGATATGTCTGATTCGTCCTTCTGCATTGAACATTACGAGCACCATCGTAACTAAATTAAAAAGACATGGAAACCTTAACAAAGGCTATAGTCAAAAACATTAGCTAGTGTAATTTTTAGCTTCTTCATCACTGTGAAGTTGTTTTTAATTGAAGTTTGTCAAAACCTATTGTGATGCCTTTTCTGGACAGTTATTCTAGATAAAATATGGTATATAAAAATAATGGTATGATATATGGTGTATTTAAAATATGCATAAAATGACATGATATTCTCTTGGCTTCCAGAAGGCAATTCAGAATTCATGTGTTTATAATATGGGATAAAGAAATGATGAAAAACTTAGTGAAGTGCTGAGTGCTTTGTACAGGTTTTCTAACTGCACAAAATTTCAGAAGCAAATGCCTTTTTTCTCTGACCAAGACAGCATAGTAGATGGCATTTCATTTTTTTTCTGATCTTTGTATCTTCATAATATTTCCATTCTTTGCTGTGGTTTAGCTGTTGAAATACGGTAGTGATTTTTTTTTTCCTGCTCTCCTCTTCAGCTTCCTTATTTTTTGCTTTTGACTACAGCATGATTGTTTCTGTGCATAATTCTGTAGAAATCATTTGCACATTTTTATGGTCTGATTGTGATTTTTAATGTTTCGTGTATGTGTGAGTGAGTTGCAGGTTCAAACCATTTAAGGTGGAAATGAAGTTATTGTTTGATAACAGTTATTCTCATTATGGTTCACTCATACCAGGAGACGAATTTCAGATGAATCTACCATCCTGGTGGTCTTCAGTGTTGTCATCCCTTGTGAAGACTCTGTTGCCTGTTTTAAGGTCTCAAACCATCCCATGTCTGTGCCAAAACTGGGATAAAGGTTTTGAACTTGATTGGCTCATGCATGATGCTGCTGGAGGAATTTGAAAGCATTAATTGATGCTTGATCTGCTTGTCACTAACAGTTTGAATAAACTGCAGCAGTCACCAATAAGTTAGTACTCTTTGAGTGGAGGGTTGCTTATTTTGAATTTCATGTTAGCAGTACTTCAGGCAGCTTCACATTTCAATTCAGTCACTTTCTTGACTTTGGTCCAAGCCTATCTTAGTCTTAGCTGGGTTGTTTTCCATGTCTTTACCAAAGCACGGACTTTGCTTTTCTATTAGAGCTGCTTCCTTCCTAATGCACAGCAGGTGTTTGCAGTCACACATCACACAGTTTCAGAGGCATCATAACCCCATTGCACCACTTCTTGTCTCTTCTGCTCCCTCCTATGTAGGTGCTCTTAACTAAGAGGGAGTAATAATTGATAATAAAACCTGACAAAGCAAGCAGCAGTCAGTGTCATTGGCTGATCTTGTAACTCCAAGCTAGATAGCATTTTACCAGTTCCATTCTTCTTGATAGTGTATCTAAATTAGTTTTCTGACAGGCTTCAAGTTCGTTGAGTAGAAAGCACAGCAGATTTGTTTCAATACTATTTACTTATAGTGGGAAAATAAATATGGGGAAAATAGAAGAAATAATGAATTAACTGATGTTTATTAATTCTATCATTTATATTCTTCGGGGAAAAAAAGACGCTGGGGCAGAGCAGGCTATGTTTTGTTTGGCTTTAAATTTGATATATAATTACTTTGGGTTTGGTTTTCTTTCGCATCAGAAGTTGGTATAGCCTAGAGCCAAGAGTTTATCTTCTTTTGCTTTGGGTTTTTTTTCCATTTGTCTTGTGTTATATAGTTGAGAGCAGTAACTCCCTATAAATAAATCGCCTGGTTTCTGCTGAGCATAACCATTAGATTTTGTAGCATGTTAGCAGTTACAGCAGTGTCACATTTTACATCTGGCTACTGAGAAACTCTGAGGATAATGAGGAAAATGTGAAACTTTGAAAAGAGCTGTAAAGAAAACATCCTGATTCTTCTGCCCTGTTTCAACACATTCACCTTTTTCATGGGATTCTGTCAGATCAGCACTGTACCACAACTTCGTGATGCTGATCTGACAAGGATTTATTCCTGTATAGAGTGCAGTGGCTAAGTAAACAATGAGATTAGGTTACACACTTTCTCATTTGAGCAAGCAAAAAAGTACAGCTCAGGGTGGGGATTTTGATGCAGTTCAGCAAAGCAGTACATGTCAGAACCTCTTCCTAGCTTGCTTAGAAAACTGCACCAACTTGAATTCTGAAATATTTTATTCAGCATTGTTATTATTGGATTAACAGATTCCTGATGTGAATTATGTAAAAATGCAGCAAGGTAATCAAACACCATTTGTACATTCTTTTCATAAAAATGCTCTTTTTACAAAACAGTAATAATTACAGAACAGTAATATTCTAACAGTTTGCAGAGATGTATCTGCATATGAATGGTCTTGTTGGAGCCACTGAACTATTTTTGCCACATAAATAAGTGGAGAGGTGTGACACAATGCTTCTGTATGGAATTTACTGTGCATTTGGCAAGCACCAGGTAGAATCTTTCTTAATTTGACTTTGCATGGGCAATCCAAAATAGTGGATTATGGTGTTTAAATCCAGTTTAAACATTGTTTGCAGTTCTTCTGAACTGTGGAAATGTTAATTTTTTCATCTTTTAACTGTCTGTTTTATAATTCACACCATATTTTAGTTTCTCACTGAAAGACCTTGCTTTTTCTATGTGAATCTTTTTCAAGAAATGAATTGGAGGCTCTTCTAAGGTGTAAACTTAAGTTTTGCACTCCAGTACAAGCATAGTCTCTCCCCCACCGCAGTAACAAATTTGGTTTAAGTTAGAAATGTTGGTCTAGCTTGTTGAATCATTTGCCAAATGTTTTCCCTGGTATCTTAAAGTAGCTGTGATTTCTGTAGATGTCAGAAACTGAAAAAAAAATCACTTATGAAAGAACTGCTCCCTGTCACTGGAACTGGTCTTGGAGCAATTTAGGAAAAGTGTTAATGACTCAGCCTTAGATTCCTTTCCTGTGTTTCCAAACACAATAGACCTTAATTTCTTCCATTCCTCTTCTCTGCCTGCTGCCTAATACCTGATTTCTCAGCTATTCTTACACAATTAAAACTATGTTAAGGATTATACAAGAAATCTGTGCATGTGAGGATGACTCTAGTATTATCAGGATGAGTTAGGAGGTGGATGCAGGTCAATGTGAGTAACTTGGTTTGTAGTCTAGAATATCAGAATTCATTTTAGTCAGTTGTTTTCAGTGTGTTGTCTGTTTAAAAGCCAAAAATAGCTAAATATACTCCTGAGAACATCATGTACTAACAATTGCTAATTCTGATTGTTTTAAGGCACATCTGGATGACTCTTTTAATGTTTGGTTGCTATTTTATATTGACGTTTTTTTAACTTCATTACTTAAAAAAGCCATCATGGTGGAACTTTAAGATGCCTTTGTGTGAAGCCAGTGGTTTCTTTCACTGACAAGATGTGGGTTATTGTAACAATCTATGATCATAGTAGTTTTCTGCCAAAAATAAATATGTGCTTTACATAAATCTCAGTATTTCAAAAAGTTTGCTGAGAGGTGAATAAAAAAAATCCACTGTAACAACAGATCCCAGAGATCTTGTTTGCTTTTCTGGTGTTTTTAGTGGGAAGGATTTGTTCTGTGAAACGTCTGTAGGTATCCATACGCGTTGACATCACAAACAGTAGTTTAACAAATTTGGTCTTAATAGCCTTTGTACTAAGAGTAGGTTGTTAAGTGTTACTGAATACAGTAATACCATGTTTGTAGAAATACAAGGGATCTGTTTTGGGGGAGAGTAGATGTGCCAGCTGTGGTGACCTGCATATATAGTGCTGTTGATGAAGCTGTATGGAAGCTGTCGTGTATCCTCTACTGAATGCTGTAATAACCCAAATTTTGTTTTCATGTAGCCTTATAGTATTAGGAACACTCACACAAAAATTTTAAGTCTGGGTTTCAGTAGTGAACACAAGGTGATTCATAACTAAATCACACTGATAATTATTATTGGAGAAGTAGACTTTGAGTTCTGAAACAGCGCAGTATAATTAAATGTGGTTTGGGTTTTTTTTCCCCCTTTTTTGACAGATTTCTTAAAAGTCACAACAAAATTTTCTTTTAATATATCCTCAAAATGGAAAAGAGATCACAAAGAATTATTTTAAAACTGAAGGTGTTTTCTTGTTTTTTTTTGTCTTGTCACATCCTAGAACTGCAATGTTACTTTCTCTATTTAATGTTCTACCACTCCAACTATGGAATCCCCTCTTCTTCCTGACCTTTCTGCTATACATAATGAGCAGTTGTTGCACGATGTGCTGTCACTATAATATATTAATCTAAACTGATCCTTCTGCAAATCAGATTTTGGCTATATTTAAGATTTCAGATGTATATGCATGAAGATGTGGGTGTGTATATGTATGTATATTTATGTATTTATATACATACATATACTGGTAGTGTATAGAAGAAGCTTATTCTGTTGCATTCTTTCACACTTGCCCTTGGACTTAAAACTGACACTAGAGCAAGTAATTCTTTAATTTGGATATAATTTAGGTTTAACCACAGTTAATTGACATAAGCAGTTGTTTCAAGTCAGAGTATCTAACTGGGTATTTGCTCTGGCCAATTCTGAGATGAAATGTACTTTGTAGTCCCCTCCAGAACATCGTCTGCTTCAGTGTTGTGAAGTGCATTGGTGAATTGTGGTGCATGACCCTTTAGCTGTTTGTCTCAGTTTTCATCTGCAGCAATTCAACATCTCATTCTATGCCAAAATGGAGAAAGTAAATAGCTTTTTACTTCCTGAGATAATTTCCTTCTCTGGTTAACATCATCTTCCCTTGTATTTTGCTTTGTTTCCTTGTTTTCTTCTTACTGTTTTGTTCATTTTTCCATGTATTCTTTTTTTCCTACTGAGATTCTGGAGCTTGCTATAAATCCCCGTTACTGACGTAGAGGATGTTAACTGTTGTTGTAGCTTCTTGGCATAACATTTTTCTTGTTTGAGTTTACTTATTTAATTTGGTACTTACTATCTTGGGTTTTTGGAGCAATGAACACCCAGTGTTTGCAAAGAGTCTGGGCTATCTTGATTACAGTTACCATATAAATTAAGAAAGTGACATTTTCTTTTTTATTATTATTATTATTGTTTTTTTTCTCAGACCCAGTACAAAACGTGGTACAGATCTTGGAGAAACAGTACCTGGAAGAGAAGCGGAGCGCTCTTGAAGAGCAGCGGCTGATGTACGAACGTGAGTTGGAGCAGCTGCGGCAGCAGCTCTCTCCTGAAAGGCAGCATCAGCATGGCAGTGACAGACTCTCCTACACTGCTCAGACTGCACAGCAGAAAGTAAATCTGTGGACGGAAGAGAGGTGAGAATGCGCGAGGAATGCTGGAGTTGAAACAAAGGAATCAGTAAGAACCACAATGGAAGTGAAAGATGGGACTTGAATGGTCTGTCAGAAACAGTATTTTTTTTATAGAATGAAATATGCCTCCATCAAAGTGTTAGGGCCTTAATTAAGGCTAGATTCTAATCCCTAGTACATGTACAACATCTTCCTATTTGATACAGTGTGATATGAAATAAAAATTTAGCTTATATTGGTCAGCCTTACAGTACTTCTAAATTGCTTTATTACTTAACGTACTTCTGAAATGTTTGGTTTAGTATTTAAGTTAGAAGAAGGGTAAAGATAGCATATGAATAAATTTGTTGTCTCATGCTAAGGTGTCCACTAGGGATTATTGTGTGTTTGGGAGTATCCAATGAAAATACAGCATTTTGCAGTCTGAAACTGCAAAAAATATAATGTGAGTCTTTAAGTTTTGTACATGTGTTTCTAAAGTCCATCTTTAGAAGAGAATTGCCTTAACTTTGAGAACTGCAGGATAGTCAGAGTATATTAGAGCTGTTAAGAAGGAAGAGGCTTGCAATGAAGTGAAAATACAGAAAGCTCTTTGTGAAGGAATAGCATGGCACCTGAACAAAGCTGCAGTAAAAGGTCGTGATGTGAATTGCAGGAGTTTGAGGTAGATCAGGAAGTTGTGAGCTGAGTTTAAGCAGTGTGTATTTGCATCTCAGCAAAGAGGGAAGCTTATCACTGGGGAGAGGAGGATGTCAGCTCCATGGAACTCCGAATCATCACCCAGATGATTTTTTTGTCTGACTGGTTTTCATTGTACAAGCAAGTATTCTGTCCTTAGTTTGTTCAGCAGGAAAGATGACTAGGTGTACTGATAGGTTACTTGTAAGCATCTATCTTCTTTTTAAAACAAAGCTTTGTTGTTCACTCACAGATTTTTCTATATGTGGAGAGTTTGAGTGCACTTTCCTATTACATTTGTTTGCTTTGCCTTTCACCATAAATAAATTAATGTACAAGAATTGTCTAAATAACGGAAGCCAATGTTGTGTTACAGCTTTCAAATTCAGAGTGTTAAAAATAGAACAGAACAGATCTTAGTTTAGTTATTATGTGTGCTTTTGTTTTGTAATTTCTGCCAAGTTTGGTTTGGAAAAAAAAAAAGCAGTCTGTTCACACGCTCAGCCATGATGCCTAAAATGTTTTCCATGGCAAGCTTAGGGAGAACGGTTGCTCTGTTTTAACTTCAGTTAAAATAATTGTTTGCCTCTGTAAGAGCTAAAAACAGAATTGTTGTATTGTGACCTGAATGTAAAGTATTGCAGAGTCACAGTTGTGATTTGCAGGCTGTTTTAGTGTTGCAGAGGAGCGTGAAATAAAGAACACTCTGAATCACTGCTGTTTAATATCGAACACAGCAATGCAATCAAGATACCGTTGATAACCCACTTCAGTTGCAGAGTTGAGAAGTGGGCTTATGGGCAAAGGAAACAATATCTCTAAGAGATGCAACAGAAAGGAGGGAGCAGCAGGAAAAAAAAAAACATTCTTGTCCCTGAGAGTCAGAAAGATAAAACTGTAATTGATAGTCTAAAAGTTAACCAAACAGTATAACCACAATGACATAAAAATGAAAATCTGGAGTGGTATCAAGGCTGAGTGTTTGGCCAGGCTTCTCTTCTCATTATTTGTTAGAAGATTTGTGGGGGGGGGGGGGGGAAGCTGAGCTTTGAACAAGTGTTTTGGCTGTGGACTTCATGTATTTCTTCTGTAAAAGTATGGCAACAAAGCCTTGTAGAGGTTATTCACCAGCCAACTGGCCAGAGGGCAAGAAATGCAGCAAACATGAGAAGACTCAGTGCAAAGAACAGGAGAAAGACCAAATGTCTGGGTTGCATAGGGTTTGGTTAATGCTGTTTTGGCTGTCATGCTGTTGCTAATAGAGCTGAACCCTACTGGATCAGCCAGCGGAAGGAATTTGATAAGCATCAGATGTGGGCACATGGTTGTGTCTGTCAGATCAGCTAGAATACATTACGCAGAGTTTATTCTAGCGTTATGCTGACTGTGGGAGGACAGATGATACCTGATACAGTGCTAAAACCCCTTGGTGTAAAGTAAATCCATTGTAACTTTGTACAGATTTATCTGTTGGGTGACTGGTGGTGGTGTACTGGAGCAGGGCTTTTGTTCTGAGTCAGTGTTCTGTATCTGGCACTGAGAACCCAAGAGACTTGCAGTGACACTTTGTGAGTGTGAGATTTGAAGGTTTCTCTAGTGCTTGGCTTAAGCAAGTGTTTGAGTATTTCATATTCAGTGGATATTTGCTGTGGCTAACACACTGACAAAGCTTGTCATGTTTTTTTGTGTAGCAAAAATTAAGAAAGGCCACCTGAAGCATTTTTTAGCTAAGTTTCTGGAAGAATGATGTCATAGCAGCAGAAAAACAGAACTGCCATAAGAAAATAAGAGCTACCCATAATAGTTGCTTGAACTGTCTTTACTGCTTGTAGTCTCCTTACAGTCTTAAACCACCTCTCTCAAAGATGTAGCAAAGATAAGGATGGTATGGGAGCAACCCAAAAAGCTAGCCAGATGCAGGTTCCTGGGTGAAGGAAGGGACTGGCTGTAGGTGAATGCTATGGCTCCTAAAGCACTTGCAGATCAAAACAGCCTTCTGCTTCTCAGATGGGATAGCTGTCTTGCCGTGGTTGCAGGTGTAACAGGCTCTCAGCATGAAGTACTACTTAACGAGTAATTCTTCACTGGGCCTTCATTTTCTGGGTGAAGCCAAAATTAGAGCAGTCTGTGGGATGTGTCACTCCAGTGGGCCAGAGTTGCTCACCTAATCTTTATAGCCAGACTAACAGAAGCAGGAGATAAATTTTCCATGTAACACCAGGAGTATATGTGGAGAAAGTGGACTTGAACTATACATAGCAACTATTTAAGTTCCAGCAAAATCCACCACTGCTGCAAGCTCAGTCCATATAGGTGAGAGAGACAAAGCAGCATGTTTTAGCGTGTTGAAGGCTCTAAAAAATTCAGTCCTATGGTGCTGATGCTGTTTGTACTTTGTCACCTTGATACAGTAGCAGTGAAGTGTCAGAGTGCAAAGTAAACTGGAAATTCATACCAGGGAGTGTTGGTCAGTGATAAATCTGAAATTTGATCGTGAGCTTTTTGCAGAAGGTGGTGGGACACCGTAAGTTCTGTTGGGGTTACAAGGAAGGCAGAAAGGGGATCTTCCCGTTTACTCAAAGGATGGTTGTGATACTTCTAAAAAGCAAGTTAAAAATAATACTCCCAGGTATATATGCGTTTGAGGTTGCTTCAATATATGCAGGATAATCCAAGAGTCTGTAGAATTGCAAAGCCCTGACTGTAATGTAAAGCTTTAGCCTGCAGTGATTTCAGATTCCAATGTCACAATATGAGGAAGAACAGTTTTTATTAAGATGAAGTATTACATGTTGGGACTGGTAGTTTCTGTGGGACTTGACTACAGATTAGAGGCAAAGCCAACTGCAGTTATTTCATTTCTTGAAAGAATATCCCTAGGGCTCTTAACAAATTATCACTGTAACATCTGTCATAGTATTGTGCCCTTTTTATTTGGGCATTGCTGTGCTAGACTTATCTCTACAATAATCTATTTGTTTAATATGTGATCACTGTTCTTCCTTCATAAAATTGTCCAACAGTTTTGAGTTTGCTGACGTAGTGCACTATGGCATTTCTCCTTAAACTTGCTTCAGAAAATTCTTAGCACCTCTATTTGCAGCTTTCCAATAATAGAAATAGGTTTCTGTGTATTTTTCATGTTCCCTACTGCACCACAGGGATGAATTGTTTCGACAGAGCCTGGCTAAACTTCGAGAGCAGATAGTGAAAGCAAATACGCTGGTGAGAGAAGCAAACTTCTTAGCAGAAGAAATGAGTAAGCTGACGGATTATCAAGTAACACTTCAAATCCCTGCTGAAAACCTCAGTGCCAACAGAAAGGTAACAGCATAATAATAGAAAAAAGTGCTGGAAAATGGAATAGTTTTATTCCTAATAAAAAAACATAGATGTATTTAACATTCATCTTCAACTTAAGGCCAAAAAATTTTATTTTTGTTAGATAATGTGTAGACAAAACATAGATGCTACCTGACTGTAATATATTGAAAGTGATTGACATAAAAATGACACACAATATTAAGTATGGCTCTTAGTGTTCTTTCAAGTGTGTGATAAAGGTATATGAATGTGGTTTGTGACCAGACATTTGTTCTGCTGCTATACAGCCTGAGTAAAGTGCTGCATTTTAGTTGTTTGCAAAAATGTCCCATTTTGTTTAAGATCCCTGTGACTTTTTCAGAAGTGCTTTCCTGTTGTAGTGTTGCTGTAAATATAATGGTAGCAATTAAAATAGTACTCTCATCATAAGTTATTTGACTGAGAGTTGTTAATGGTACTGTGTAAATAGAAGTTGTTTAAGATGGTCTGAATCTTCAGAGATGTGTAAGGATATGCTGTGTTAGAGGACAGAGATGGTATGGCTGGCATGCAGAGGAAGCTGTATATTGTCTATATTATTCCTTTTTAGGAAAACAATTTGAGTGAAAGGTTCAACTACTCACAATCATGTACTGTTCCTACAGTTATTTTTTTTTTTCTTCTGGCTTAGAGGGGTGCAATAGTGAGTGAGCCTGCTATTCAAGTGAGAAGAAAAGGAAAGGCTACTCAGGTGTGGACTATTGAGAAACTGGAGAACAAATTGATTGACATGAGAGATCTCTATCAAGAGTGGAAGGAGAAAATTCCTGAGGTATGAAATATTATTTTTGAAAGGGATCACTGATTGTTTTCTTCTAATGCCTTTCAGTATGTTGCATGAGTGAAGTGAAGTGCAGTGACTTAATGTATGAAAAAGTGTAGTACTGTGGTGCAAAAAGAAGCAACTGAGAATAAAATGCCCATGCAGAGTGAAAAATAGATATGTCTTACCCTTGTTTACATTCTCAGGTACGGTTGTGCTAAGCTGAGTGACTGACTCATGACAGCAGTTAAGGCTTACGTTTACCTTCCATTATACAAATGCCATGCAGATAGGCATTAACTCTGAATGGAAACAGCAAGCTGCACTTGAAATAGTGATTAAATATTGGTCAGTATCAAAAGTAGCTAGGATGACTAGAGTGCCCATGCTGCTTAATTACATTTCAAGTGCAGAACACGTCAGTTGGGTAGAACTTGATCTTAAAATGATAAATATGCTGTAATTTTGGTTATATATCCTCTAGCCTTAAAACAGTGAAAAAATCAATTAAGATTAGGCAGAATGCATCAGTATCTCTGTGAGAACCAAGTGATATTTCCTGAGAATCTAAGTAGCAGATCAGATTTAGAAATGAGTGTAGGACTTGTTAAAAACTTGTTGGTTTACATCAGAGGTGTATCTTACTGTCATATGGCCAATATGGAGCACTATATGAATTATTTGTAACAAGAATCATTCCCAGATATGCTTAAACAGCTGTTGTGCTTTTGTTCCCTGCCTTCTACAAGACAGTGGGAATCTCTAAAATCATAATACAGGGGATGCCAAGCACTTCATCAGTGCCCATTGAAGGCAACAATGATTTTGCTTACTTTACTAAGAACTGATAGTGCGTTCTGTCAGTGTATCAACATGCTTTCCTGAGGCAGGATTATTCTTTCCACAACATGTGTCATGCATAATGCATTTGCTGTATATGCTACATGGAAGCATGTAAGTCAAATGGAGACAAAAGAGGGGAAGAAAGGAAGGAGCTAACATGTCCACTGATGTGTGCATGTCGTGCCAGGAATCTGCATAAATTCTTCATTGGCTGTTATGAGGTCTTGCATAGAAATTGCTGCAGATGTGATCTCGCCTCCTGAGTAATCGTAGTAGCAATTGTAGGCTTAAGTAGAATAATCCTGCAACTTCCCTTTTGCCCTAATAGTGGCTCCCAGCAGCCATAACAGCTTTCGTCTTGAGGATTATTTGTGCTTTCATTTAAAAAGTAAAGGTATCCTTATGTTACTACTTACCATAGTAAAGAAAGGGTTGTGTGTCTCATCTCAAAGATGTCATTTTACATTTCCCTTTGTTTGTGTAAGAGGAAAGAACAGAAATGGGTAGTGACTTCATTTTTGTGCCATGATCTCGTATTGCTTGGTAATCCAATTTTGATTTCCATGCTTAAAGTTTTTGAAATACCTTTTGTGCTCTTTAAAACAGATAAGGAAGCTCATTGGCAAAAGAGGTGATCCTTTTTATGAAGCACAAGAAAATCACAACTTAATCGGCGTGGCAAATGTGTTTTTGGAGTGCCTTTTCTATGATGTTAAGCTGCAATATGCTGTGCCTATCATCAGCCAGCAGGGGGAGGTAACACGAAATAGTGTCCTGATTCCTACCTGTGCATTCATACCTATGTGGATCATGTTTGTTTGTTCTTAAAAAAAAGCTTAATAGTTCTGCATACAAACAACTTCTCTTCTTGTTTTGGCATTGTTGCTTTTCATGTCATAATTGTGAGCTGTTCGGTTCTAACATTCAGTGCTCGTTAGCAGTCCCTGTATGCCTCCTACAGTAAGATTTCTACCATCTTTTCCTTTGAAAAGCATGGATTCTTAGTATTTTTCTTGCTTTAGGTTGCAGGACGATTGCATGTTGAAGTAATGCGAGTCACTGGGTCTGTCCCAGAACGTGTGGTAGAAGGAGATGACTCATCTGAGAACTCCAGTGAGAGTGGGAGTCTGGAAGTCATGGATAACAATGGAGAAATTATTCACAGAGCAAAAAAGCTCTCCTGCAGGGTAAGTGAGAGCGCATGATGACTTTAACAGTTTCAGACCTTTGCAACTGTGTAGTCAATCTTAACTACAAAACTATGTAAACAATTTCTTCCATTAAATTTTATAAAGATAAAATAATTTTCTTAAAAGAGAGCGATTTCTCTTGGTTCCTGCTCAGTGCATACCAGTCTCACTGGCCATGCTTGCCAGCGACTGAGCTGATCAGCATTAGTTTCTGCTGTATGTAGATCTATATAATAAATATTGACGTTACAAGGGCTGTCTTTCATGGCAGACAGAAGGGGAAATACCTTTTCCATATATCAGCTTGCTGTGATTTGTGTGATTATCTAAAGTAGTATCAGTGGCTGGTGCCTGGATTTCATTTCTTCTTTTATGAAAAAGTTCTTCACTCAAGGCTGATGTCTTCCTCAAAGAAAGTACTTGCATGGGTAGGCTAGTTAGATGCGTGTAACCTTTCTCCTTGCACCTGCATTTCTGTATATGCAAAGTACAGATTTCCTGAGTAGGGTCATCTTTAAGAGGCAATCAGGGATATCCTTTCAAAAAATCTTGGTGGTTGATAAGTTTTGTCGAAGTAGTTTCTTTTTAAGCAGTTTATAATTGAAGGAATAATGGCATTTATGAGTACATCCATCTTGTCTACTCAGGTAAAAATAAAAGAAGCAACCGGACTGCCACCTAATCTCTCCAACTTTGTCTTTTGTCAATACACATTTTGGGATCAGTGCGAGTCAACAGTAGCAGCACCAATTGTAGATCCAGATGTGCCTTCACCTCAGAGCAAAGATGCTCATTTTACAGTGACCTTCTCTCATTGTAGGGTAATTATTTTTAGCATGGAACAATATTATCAGAAGGATGGTATATTTGATTTAAGCTGTTTAGGATTTAAGTGTTGTTTTCCATGGGGGAGGAGGGATGGAATCAAATCATATAACTAATGACTTTTGAAAACACTCTGGAGCGCTGTAATTTTTCTCTTCATCATCTCTTTGTAATGCAGTAAAATGGAAAATGCTCTTATAAGTTCAGTTGTCATCTTCAGTGTGTACAGAGAAAACTACAATTTATATAAGGATATTTTGTACAGTTGTTTGATAAGCTCAGTAACATGAAAAGTCTTATTGGAACTGCAGTGGGGCTTGAATATGAATTTTCAAAGCAATCAATATGCATGAGCAAAAAGCATGAGTTGCTGAAATGATTTATTTCACAACTCTGACCTGTCAAGATTTATAATCTGAGCTTTTTTGAGGATTGCAATTATTTCCTTTCATTGGTTGTAATGTGTTTTATTCTGATTTCTAGGACTACGTGGTGAATGTCACAGAGGAGTTTTTGGAGTTCATTTCAGAAGGAGCTCTTGCTATTGAGGTGTGGGGTCACAGATGTACAGGCAATGGCACCTCTGTTTGGGAAGTTGACTCTCTTCATGCTAAAACTAGGACACTGAGAGACAGGTATGAATTACACATGGATGTTTTCATCAGCTTTCCAGAGGATTTCCAATACCTGTGGTGCACTTAGCATATTTTGATGAGGCAACCATTAGTTTTTGTGGGTATGTCTTTTTAGGTGGAATGAAGTAACTCGAAGAATAGAAATGTGGATTTCCATACAAGAATTGAATGAGATGGGAGAATATACTGCAGTTGAACTCCATCAGGCAAAGGATGTAAACACAGGGGGGATTTTCCAGCTTAGGCAGGTATGTCTTTTTCCTTATTGCCTTGCTCATACTTAAATTGATTCCTAATTTTATTCTTAGATTCCCTCTGTTTCTCTCTCCCTGTCTTTCTTTATCAATTACCTTCCTGTTCAGGGTCATTCTCGCAGAGTTCAGGTGACAGTGAAACCTGTACAACATTCAGGAACGTTGCCTCTCATGGTAGAAGCAATTCTTTCAGTCTCTATAGGTGGTGTGACTGCCAGATCAACCAAATTGCAAAGGGGCTTGGACAGCTATCAGGTAAGACAGTTACATTTTTATGCATTGATTTATTTTCTCTTCTTACTTTGCTGTTTTAGATCCTGCCTAAAAGTTCCAGAAGGGACCTTAGTTCACACACTGGTACATGATACATTATCTTGCTGTTTTAGATGTTTGAAGCTAATGTGAGTATAGGGTGCTGAAGCTGCTTCTTTTTTAGCTTGCTTGTAACTTAGTGTGTAAATGATGAAGAGCCAAGTATGATATCTGGACATATGCAAGACCACAGGCATATGGAATTTGTTTTCACTTTTGCAGCAGTGAAATTAATACAGATTAATGATTTGGTTAATTTCTCTCTCATGTATGAATGGTGCAAGTTGAAGAGTAAAAGCAAATAAAAATGAGTAGGGATAATGTCTTACAGTGATATAACATTTATCTTTTTAAGCTGTTACTGAATGCAGCAGGTCTTAAGAAGTATAAATGACTTGCTGCTGCTGCCAGACAAATTCATATGGAAAACAAAACATTCTTTTAGTAGCAATAGCAAAGAACAATTGGAACAGGCCACCCAGGGAAGCATGGCACTTTCAGTCATTCAGAACCACAAGTAATTCTAACCTTAAGTATGGACAAAACTGTAAATGTGAGGTTTGGCTGTATGCTTGCTCCGTCCTTTTTCTGGTGCTGTATTCTATACATTCCTTTTTTTGCTAAGTATAACTTCTAAAATCATGGCTGAGATGCTGTAGTCTGTAATGAAGAAAAAATTGATCCTTTCTGTTAGTAAGACTTGGGTTACTTGAATGTTGTAATTTTAACGTTTTACAAGTTTGTTTGTGTCAAGAAATGTTTGCGCTCATGTTTGGGGGTATTTCTGTGATTTTTCTGTTGAAAAATGCATGTTCTTTTGTTTTTTACAAAATTTATTTTCTCCTACCAGAAGGAGGAGGATGATGGTGGTGATATGGATAGTTATCAGGTATTGATGCTGTTGCTGTCAATCCTGTGGCATGGGGCACAGCTAATGCTAATAGCCAGCAGCTTTCAAATGAACAAGCATAGTGGTGCAAGCAAAAGCAGCTTTGAAATATATGCTATGCATTTAAGAGGCTACCTGGGCTATAAAACACTGCTATTTCAGTTCATCTAATGACTTTACACTCTTGCAGTGTGTTCTTTTCTCTATTGGCAGTCAGCTCTCCTAATGGGCTGCAGGAATTGCTATGTGAATAAAAACTTAAACTTGAATTTAAAATGAAAATAGTTTCTATTGAGTATCATAAGGGGGGAAAAAAAAGCCCTGCAGGTACAGAAATTCTTCTCAACCAAATTGCACAACGAATGGCTTTTTAATTTTGTTTTATAAAGAAAGCATCTTAACCTCTTGACTTGTGCAGTTTTCTGAAATGCTTCTGAGTGCAAGTGGAGGGTGAGAGTCTGAGGAGTACAGAAGTTCAGCGAAGCAAACTTTCCATTTTCAAGCTTAGAAACCTTGAATGTGGCTCTTCTGTGATAAGTGAATGTAAGGCAGTCAAAGTTGAGAAAGCTTGAAAGAAGAGTTGTTCAAAAGATGGCAAAGGCCAGAAGAAATGTCTAAAAATCTAAAGCACAGAAGAGATTTTACATGGAAGTCTTATTTTTAGTAGGCAGCTTTACAGAGGTAAAATAGTTTGGTGAGAATGCTGCCATCCCATAAGATAATGTGCTAGACTTTACAGCAACCTCAGAAATACCAGTTAGGCACTAACTTCTTGCGGGCTGTTTATGTGCTTCCTGACAAATCACAGAGAAGAATGAGCCAGATTTTCTGTGATACCACAAAGCATGATTGCATGATGGGTTTTGTTTGCATGAGAAACCTTTTAATTGCGCTGATAGCAACTACTAGCAATGGAATTTTGTGCAGATTTGAGGGTATACTGACCTATCTAATCTTCAGGAGATCTTACAATCAACTCATCATACCTGTTTTCATATTCCATGCACTATTACAAGGTTTAATTGTCACTTCTGTGAATAATAAGCCTATGGTGTATAATCCTGTTCAATAACTGAAATCATCATATTTTCTTTTTCTCCTTGTGGAACTTGAGATCTGAAAGCAAATTTCCATTCATGGGTGATGAGGTACTTAATTAGCATGCATGTTATTTGGGGGAAAAAGTTTTCTGCATCATGCAAGCTGTTTAATATCAGTTCTGATGAAATTATCACAAGATTCACTGCCATTTGGTCTTAACCGCAAAGTGTAATAACTTCCTTTTTTCTTCCATGTTAGGAAGAAGACTTAAACTGCGTACGAGAAAGATGGTCTGATGCACTGATAAAACGCAGAGAATACTTAGATGAGCAGATTCAAAAGATCAGCAATAAACAAGGTTTGAAGCTTAAAAACTCACTCATAAGTACTTTAGTCCCTATTTCATCAACAACAAGAAGTGTCTTACATCATACAACCTCTTCCTCTGTAGAAAAATCTGAGGATGATATCGAACGAGAAGCTCGGCTGGTAGAGCAGTGGGTCGGGCTGACGGAAGAAAGGAATGCAGTGTTTGTTCCAGCACCAGGCAGTGGGATCCCCGGTGCACCTGCAAATTGGTATGTGCAGAAAGAAACATTGGAGTGGTGAGCTGCTTCTGTAGGAACATTGTGAACTTACAGGGTCAAAATCTCAGGGTGTTTTATAGCTTCTTACGTTTTCCTGTACTGCCACAAATTACACAGAGCTGGCATAAGCTCTTGATGCTGGTTAACTTACTACATGAAGTAGTGTTGAGATAGCTCTGAAGGTTTGAACATCACCTTTGAATTTAGAAGTATTTTACTTCTTTGTTGTTTTTAATTCTGAAAGTTGACTCCCTTCAGCAAAAAAAAAAAAAAAGAATGTGTCAAAAATGAACTACAGAACATGATTTCATTGAGTTCAGGTGTGGAAGGGAGATATTCTAATGTGAAAGATTGTTCTCTTATTCAATTCAAATTTCTACTAATGTATCTTTCATTTGAATTTGTGTTTTAAATAAGATCATTGGGACTAACCTTGGAAAAACTAAGAATGCATCAGGTTAAATTTGGGAAAGTATGGACAAGAAATAACAAATCTAATCCAGTGTACGCTGGTGTCCCTGATAATACCTAAATCTCTTATTCACTGGGTTTTTTTCCTCTCAAACTTAAGATATTTTTTTCCCTTATTCACCTGAAGTATACTGTGGTCATATAGCTAGAAATGCATGTATTGTTATAAAGACTGTCTTGTCAGCAGTTACCTATTCATTTGTTTGGAAGGTTGCTAATCTTTATGTGTAAGATGACTGCAGCCAATTAATTTTAGAAGAAACAGTGGGATGTTTAGAACTGTCACCATTGTAACAATTGTAATGCACTGAAGTGTGTGCTTTAAGTTTTGGTAAAGCATTAGATTTAGTTACATGTGGAGATAGGCAAAACACTGTCTGTGCAACACAGTCAATCAGATTCGCCATCAAAATGTTGACTGCTTTAGTCACTGATTACAGTTAATGAATCTTGCATGGAGATTGGTTTGCCCTAATTAGTTTTGACATGTGTTTGTCTTCCTTGTTGATAGCAGTTTGTTTTGTTCCAGGATTCCACCTGCTGGGATGGAAACACATATACCTGTCCTCTTCCTTGATTTGAATGGTATGCTGTAATGACAGATTAAGAAACTTAGGAAAACAATAAAATTTAGTTTCTAATGATGCACTGATAGGTGGAATAGTTCATCTTAAATATCTGAGAGAGTTCTGTCAATGGCAGTGTCTGGTATAGATTTCAGAATGTTCTTTCTTCTGACTACATATGTTGGAATAATTAAATACAATTATTTTAAAATTAAGGTGCACATCAGGGAGCATACGAGTACAAGGATTGTTTTTTCAGCAAAAGCTGTGAAAGAGCAAGCTTAGTTTAAATGGAAGAAAAGAAAGAAACATTTTGTGTGCATTTCAATGTACAAATCCACAGGTCATAAGAACATTGGGGAATCTCCCAGCTGTTCCAGATCTGAGTTATCTGTAGAAGTTTAAACAGATGGTTTGATGAGGAGTGTGCTAGAATATCTAAGTGTTCTCCCTTTGAAAGCACTTAGTTTTAAACTTTGAGAAGGCTATTGATATTTGTTCTCAGAACGCAGACACACTGTTAAGCAGGAAGAAACTGGAGTTTGCCCCATATTTAAGGACTGTTTAGGAAGTAAGTCTGTAAGTATAAACTCTTAGACATGAAGTAGAGAAGGATCCACAAGCCCTGTTACATCCAGCACATCACTGTGCTCCTAGACGTGTTTATAAAGGCAACACACTAATATTTTCTTTGAACACTGCTTTTGAAAAATTCCTTCATCAGTGCTCACAAGAAATGTTTTTGTTTTCCATTGTAAGCAGAGTTTAGCAGACAGAAGGCCAATAGAACACATTCATGGATCATTGCACAACAGTTTTTTTCTTTTTGTATTATAAGAAAACCTAACTTTATCAATACTGCTGTTCTCAATCTGGATGCATCAGAGCTGATTTAAATAAAGATGAGTTGTTTAGGTAAATTAGGAACTTTCTGGCTGGGTAAGTTCCTTTCATGAATACTTAGAAATAGACTGGAATTCCGTTTAGGCCATGTGAGGACATGTTCAGAAGGAATCTTAACTTGGTTTTACTTCCTATTTTGTATGCTTGAATTATTTTTGAGCTAATGCATGGTAAGATTAATCAGGACTAAATGTATTATGAAATTATTACAACTTTGCCTCTGTATATTAATATTCTTCGGTGCAAACCTATTTCCTTCTTTGCACATTTGTTTTGTTAGCTGATGACCTCAGTGCCAATGAACAACTTATAGGTCCCCACGCATCAGGAGTTAACTCAATCCTACCAAAGGAGCATGGGAGTCCATTCTTTTATCTGCCAATCATAAAACACAGTGATGATGAGGTAAATTAAATTTCTTCTCTCCTCCCTTCGTCCTTTCTCTTGAGGGCTCTTTGATTTTTCAGAGGAAACTGCTTCCTTTGTCCTCACCAGGCAAAGCTTAGTGATTAAATATAGGTTTCTCTTTTGTAGTGCATGATTCCTTCTTAAGTGCAGTAAATTGGGAATTGTAAGTAAGAAATTCCAAAACATACCTGGAATCAGTCAACTTGTGTGTCTTCCACTTTCTGTGCCTTCTCAAGCCAATACTTAACAGATCATTTGCAGAATAAATGGCGTGCTGAGATGCAGGAGACAGGGAAGGAAAAAGGTTTTCTGCAATATGGGAACAGGTTTATTCTGTATAGAAAATTGTAACTTAATCTAACAAGTGGAAGCATTGTCATTGAATTCAATAAACTGTCAATAATGGTTTGTTTTTCTTCCTTCAGTTTTCCCCTCTGTGTTCCTCTGATTGTAAACTTTCTTTTGGGGCAAGGATTTTGTGCTCCATCATATTCTGTGATATCTTAACACCTATTTTTATGGTTCTTCTGATTTATTCCTTATTATGAAAGGGTCATTTTACTTAATTTTGCTCAATGAATACTCACTGTCCTTTCACAGAAGTATTGTTTTATGCCATGTGAAATCATTGCAAATTACTTGTCAAAGTAATTGAGGCTTTGATCTTCCTTTTTCCGTGTGATTTCTCTGTGTAGGTTTCAGCCACTGCTGCCTGGGACTCTTCTGTCCATGATTCAGTGCATCTGAATAGAGTAACTCCTCAAAATGAGAGGATTTACTTAATAGTGAAGACTACTGTGCAGCTCAGCCATCCTGCTGCAATGGAACTGGTCTTACGGAAAAGGATTGCAGCCAATATTTATAACAAGCAGGTAATAAGTTCATATGTTATTACTAATTTTGTTTTATATCCCTGATTTTATGAATGTTTTCCTAGCTGCTTGCTTTGTTTTGCATGTCTCCTGTTCTTATGAAAGACAAATGAAAAACAGATTAGCATAGGTTGCAGTGATGCTGTTTGTCTGGTACAGCCCTTTGAGCTGTTTGTTTTTCAACCTGATCTGGTTCACAGCGTGGCAGATGCTACTTTTACAAAAAAAAACAACAAAAAAAGTAGCTTAGACAATGAGATGCTCTCTAAAATTGCATTGCTTTCTGTTTCCCAGGCAACTGAGACCAAGAGCATATTTCAGAATTGCTTCAGATTTTGCAGTGGGAAGGGGAAGTGGAGTTGGGACACCAAGCAGCTGTTGTGCTACTCAATAACTTACTAATAGCTGAATTCCTCACCTTTTTGTATTTGAGATATTTTCCCTTGCTACTTTCATTTGTCTAAAATGCCTTATGAGGTGGAAGTTAAGTTTACAGTTCATGATGTAAAGGCTGACTAATCTGGTAATGAAGCATACTAAGTCTGTGACTATAGCCGTGAAAGCTGTGGTCACTGTCCCAGCTGTGGCTAGAAATCAGAGCTGTGCTTTGCTATAGCAAAAGGAATTTTCTGCTTTTTTAACAGGTGGCTGGCAAAATGAGGAGTGTTAGCATATTAGAGACTTCCTACAGCCACAGTTTCTCAGTTACAGGTTATTACACAGAAACTGAGCTTCAATGAAAAACAGGAGTAAACTGTTACTATTTGAACTTTGCAGCATTTTTTTATACTGAGCACAGGGCTGTGTCAAGTACTTTCAAGGACTGTGAATACTGAAAAGGAACTTTCTAAATTATTGTCCTGAAAATTGTGCTTATGTGGTAAATTAATTAAATTTTTGCACTGCAACTTTTTTTTTTGTCTTAAAGCACTGTAAGTAATCATTATCAAAGAAGTAACTGAAAATTACTTTATTTCTAGAGTTTTACCCAGAGCCTGAAAAGAAGAATATCCTTGAAAAATATATACTATGCCTGTGGAGTAACCTATGAAATAGTATCTAATATACCAAAGGTAAATTGCACCATGTTTCTCTGGCAAATTCACTGAAAGTAACAGAATGACCTATTGCAGTGAGCCCTGCTTTATTGATATGAGGCAGCTTGCCAAAGTGCATACCCTGTAGCTCAATAGTGAGATCATTTCTACCTATCAACAGTAGAAAACTGAGGATTTTATTTTCTTACTGTGTAAACTGTGTTCTTGTATTATGAAATTGTATTAGCCACTCCAGGGAAATGCAGAGGCTACTCAAAAGGGAATTCATGTCAATGAAAACAGAAAAACAGCTGAGAAATTTATTTCAACAGGAATATAAACTGATTTTTATATTACAAACTTGTAGAAATTGAAAATGTATTCAAAAATTGATTTTAAAGGTAAACTGGACAAATGAAAACAAATGGTGTAGTCACCATGTAATTGTTTTGTATGATAATATTTAGAATTTAAGTTCTAGAGAAGTTATGCAGAGAATCTAAGGTTCAAGAAAGAAGTTGCATTTACTTCCTTTCAGCATCATTTGCACGTGTTGAAAAGTCTTGGATTGTTGATTATCGTTAGGATTACTGATTAAGATTTATTTCTGAATTGAGATGATGGGAGTCAACACCTTAGAAACAACACACTTCAATTTGAAAGGCTAAACAGTATAACTTGCAATTTAGGCTACAGAAGAAATTGAGGATCGTGAGACCTTAGCTCTGATGGCTGCAAGGAGTGAAAATGAGGGTACATCTGATGGTGAAACTTACATTGAGAAATACACACGTGGAGTACTGCAAGTGGAGAACATTTTGAGTCTTGAACGACTAAGACAGGTAAGGAAAAGGCACTTAGGGCATCTTTTGAACTTTTTAATTACAGTTTAAGTAGAGGATGTGGGTGGTTTTCATTTTAAAATAAGAGTTGCTTGTTTTTCAACTGAAGTGAGAACACTGAACAATGTGGGATAAATGTAAGACTGAGATACTCGTGTGAAATACAGAATTGCAGCAGAGGTGGATTAAGTAGAGTATGTTAGTGGTGTCATAGTCAGAAGCTGAACAGGCAAAAGCCAAAGTATGGATTTGGATTCCAGATAGATGTTTTGGTGATTGTGTGTGCAAATTAAGATTTGCAAATGCAGGCCCTGTTTGTTGTCATTAGGCACACTGGGGGGGGGAAAAAAAAGATTCTGGCTGAATTTCAGGGCCCAGTGTGTGGTGATCAGTGGCACAAGGCCTGCTTGGAGCCCAGTAACTAGCAGTTGCCCTAGATATTGGTACTGGGCCTAGTTCTGCTTAACATCTGTATTAATGATCTGAATGGAGCGAACCCTCAGGAATTTTGCAGATGACTCAAAACTACAGGGAGTGTTGATTATACCAAAGGGTTATGCTGCCATCCAGAGGGACTTTGACATGATGGAGAAATGAGTAATAGGAATCTCATGAAGTTCAACAAGAAGTGCGAAGTTCTGCTCCTGGAGGGGAACAAAGCAGCAGGACGTGCTGGGGACATCCAGCTGGAAAACAGTTTGACAGGAAAGAACCTGGATTTCCCTCATGGACACCAAGTTGATCATGAGCCACCAAAGTGCCTTTGCAGCAAAGAAGGATAGTAGTATCCTGAGTTGCATTAGGCACTAGGTATTGCCAGCAAGTCAATGGAGGTGATCCTTCTCCTCTACTCAGCACTGGTGAAGCCACATCTGGAGTGCTGTGTCCAGTTCTTGGCTCCCCTGTGCATGAGAAACCCAGACATACTGGAGTGAATACAGCAACGGGCCAAAATGTTAATGAAGGAACTGCAACATCTCTCCTGTGAGGAAAGGACAAAGTTAGGACTTCTCAGACTGCAGAAGGAAGGCTGGAGGGTGGGGTAGTAGATCATTTCACTGTATTTCAGTCATTTCAGTAACTAGAACGAGGGTTCAAACACAGCACAAGCAGACTGTCTTCAATGGTGCCAAGTGACAGGATAAGAGGCAATGGATGTTCTGTCTGTACATCAGGAAGCAAAGCAATTCTTTGCTGTGTGAGTGCCTGAGCCATGGAATGGATTTGAAGAGTTTCCTCCCATGGAGATAGTTAAAAGGCTTTTGGATGTTCCCTTAGGTAAGTGGCTGTAGGTAGGCAGCCACTTGAACTACTTGAACCCAGAGAGGTTGAACCATAAAACCACCAGAGATCTCTTCTGACCTCAGTGATTCCGTGGTTCTGTCCTGTTTGATTGCTTCTCATGAGGACATTGTTCATCACTGATAACAGCACTATTTAAGTGGGATCTGTTCTTCTACATAGGCAGTTACAGTCAAAGAAGCACTCTCTACCAAAGCAAGAAACATCCGCAGAAGCATGAGCACACCAAACGTCCACAATGTAAGAACCTTTCTCCTCTGGTAAATTTGTGTGAACTGGGTGGAATGGTGTTGTCTGTGTACTGATGGAATACTTGCACAATGTGATATGGTAATGATTGTTCTGAAATAGGACTAGTCAACCTGTAGGAAGGTTGACATGCATGAAAAAAGTCAGTCATCCAATAGAAATCCCTGATCACAGTTCTTCTTTCTGGAAGAAAGCAAGGGCAGAGGGAGAGTTGGTCAGAACTCTCCTTGTATAAAGGTAATAGTCTGAGAAGAGCTGTAGAATGATGGCTGCAGTTATTCACATTTTTTTTTTTTTCCACTTTGATGTAAAAGTCTCTTTTACTTCTTTTCATGGTGGAAGGGATAGTTTCCATTTTGTGTGCGTTTTATGCATTATTGTATCACACACTCAGACAGAACAAATGTAGCCATCCTTCTAAGTAATCTTATCTGAAAAGTTAGGACTAAATGTTCAGTGTCTCCTTAAGACATCTTATAAATAAAAGGAATGCATTTTGTCATTCTGCCTCTTGGTGTTTTGTAGGTATCCTGTAGCCGACTAGATCTTTCTGCCTGTGATGAAGATGATAAGGTAAGTGTGAAGTTAAAAAAAAAAAAAAGTATGTTTACATAATATGTGTAACAAATGCTAATTACATCCTATTTTGAATTAAACTCTTGTTCACCTCTGCTTTTTATATTAGAATTATAGAAAATGATATTTAAGAAGGAGAAAGATAGAGAAAACCTTAGAGAAAACAGAGTATTGATGGGAAAGTTCAACATCCACTGCCATACTGTTATCTTCCTCTGATGTTGTGGGCCAGCATAATAAAATAGGGATTACTTTTGGACCATCTCTCATATTTTCAAAGAAAATCTAGTTGCTTCTGAATTATCCATCATTTTCAAGACAGAAAAATATCTTGAAGTCATAAAATTGATATATTTGAGGTTTTAAAAAAAAGAATAAAATGAGCTTTTGAGTTTACCTATTAACTTCTCCATGTTTTCCTGTATCAGCGTGCATATTCATGTATTTTTGTTTCTTAGGGTTGGTCTGAAAGTCACCTAGATATGTCTGACTGTTCTTCCAGTTATCAGGATGTATCATGCTATGGTACTTTGCCCAGGGAGTCACCACGCAAGAGCAAAGAGGGCAGCGGTGAGACTCTAAAGTATATGTGTAATGATTTTGCTTGTGGTTTTAATCACTGTGCTAGATTGGAAGTCAGATAAAAAAACAGATAAAAATTTCTTCCTATTAAATTCTCAGTTCTTTTCTCCTATTTAAATGCTTTATCCAGCTTCTTGCTTTAGCAGCTTAACATAATCTGTGAATGGGAGGGAGAGAAATGTATGAAGATATTCAGGAAAATGTAAGAAATTGAGAGTGCTCAGAATCAAATACAAGACAAGATAAATGTGGATCAAAACAGGGAGGAGAGAAAAGGAAAAGCTGCTGCAGATTTATGAATTTGACAATGAAAAGGCTTGTGTGAAAGTGGGAAGACTCCTTTTGCAGGTTCTTTGCATTGTTTGGATATTTGTTCTTCCATGTCAGCAATCACAGATGTCTTATTTTCTTTAGGTTGAGTTGTAACCTGCTCTTCTTGGACAGGAAGCGTTGGTAGAGCCAGTGCTTCCTTGCCCATAACTTTCTTTTTCATCAGCCTAGTTACACTGGCTTGGCTCCTGTGCCGCATTGCAGTGTTGTGGACAGAGAAAGATGAGGCGCAGGAAGCAAAAAGCTGTCAGTTTGAGTTTCAGGGATGCTTCCCACTTTTTATGACTGTGATGAAAAGAAAAAAAACTGGAGCCTCAGAATAGAAAGGGCAGATACTGCTGTTCTCTATTCTCCTTCTCTTTCTAGACAGCTCAGAGGAAAACAATCTGCCTTTGTAGAGCTCTGCACTATCTCATGATTGAGTCAGTGGTTAAATACTAAAATACTGCCATTCTTTCTGTAGCCATCAATTTGCCAAATGCGCAGCTTAACCTTCTAGTATCTTGAATTTTTGCTCTTGCAGTTAAGATATGAAGAACCAAAGTAGAACTTTTTTTTTTTTTTTTTTTTTTGCCCCTTAGGTATCACGTCAGAGAATTCTCATGCTTTAATGGCCAGCCCTTTTAAAGCATTTTCTCCTCAGCCACCCAAGTTTTTCAAACCCTTAATGCCAGTGAAAGAGGAGCATAAAAGGAAGACCCCACTTGAAAGCCGACCTCTGCTTAGTCAGGAGGTAATATGTGCAAGCTACCTTGTTCTTTGTGGAATCAACTAATTTTGCATTCTTGGCAAACTGATTGCCACATGCTTCTGTTCCAATACAGTTTTGTAATTATTTGGTTAAAATTCATTATATTTGGTGGGTTTTTCATTGTTTATTTTTTTACCTGAAGTATTGGGTTTGTTTCGCTTCTTGGTAAGTATTCTCCTTTACTGGGTATTTCTACTTAAAAGTAACAATAACCCCCCCTTTTTTTTTAATTAATTCTATTCTAGTTCTAGTAATTCTAGTGATTCTAGTAATTCTGTGGTGGTTAGAAGCCTGACTTTTATTCTCCATCATAAAACACTGTTGAGAAGAGTGCAAACACATGAGTCTTTCTGCCTGTTAACTTGAGATTTGGTGACACGTGTGGCCACTATGAGCGTTTGGCTTTCGTCGTGTCTTAATGCCTTTCTGCCTCACATGCATATTTAGCTTTCGTGGTTTGTGTGATGTGTTGTGTGTCTTAACCTTTGCAGAATATGACTTCATCTCAGGTGCATTGTGCTGGCTGTGTTGTGCCTTCAGGAAGTAATGCCAACAGCATGCCTGTAGAAAGCAATAGCATACATGAGGAAAAGATTGTAAGTTCTGTACCAGCTTCTGTTACGAGGCCTGGTGGTGGGCTTAGGGCCCTTTGGTGGTGGGCTTTAGGTACTTAATGCTACTGCAGCAGGAAAAGAAGGATTAATGTGGATACAATCACTTGTGATTATAACTAATAATTATAATGAGCACTTGCTTGCTTGGCTTACAAATGCAATCTTTGATTGGAAATAATTGTTGGTGGGTTTTTGTTTTTGTTTTTTTTTTTTAATTTATGTGATTCCTCTTGTGGGGAGGGTGGAAAATGGGAGGCTTCAGTTTTTACAGGGCACAAATAATCAAGTGAAGTGTAGCTTAGTGGATCACGTTGTTGTCACTCTAATATGCCTTGTATGTTATCCAGATTTTGTGACTATACCCCAGAGTAAATGGAATGATCCCATTTGGTGTAAGTAACTGCATTTAGGTGTGGGTACGCTATAAAAGCTTTATCTAATTGCCTGGTGTGGGATTAATATCACTAAAATAAGGTTGCTGCTCTTAATTAACCTGCAGCCTCTCTTCATCATAATTCAGGTGGTGCAATTAGGTGGAGGGTTTTTATTTTTCTATTCAGCTGTCAAATTGTTGTTTTCTCACTGCTGCTTCAACAAAAGATGCATCATTTCTGCTTTATGAAGAGCTTGGTTTTTGAGCTGTGGAAGATGGCTGTGAATATTTGCTCTAATCAGAGCTTTAGATTTAGCATTTGGAACCTTGAATTTATTTCCCTTGAATAGTACTGTGAGCAGTTACTCAAGGTTCTCGTGAGGGATTCCTGTTCAGCATTTTCATTTCCTACCACATAGCCATGCTGTGAGAAAAATCACTTTTGGTTATTTCTACTGTCGATTGTTGCACCAAAGTCTCCTGAGAGAGTTCTGGTGCATGCTTTAGAAGCTTGGCTGCTGTTCCTGTGTTGCAGCTGTTTTCGTCTCCATTGTGTTACTTTTCCATAAGGAGGTGTGAGTCAGTATGTCAGCTGAGTCATGGACACAAATAGCATGAAAGGTATTTGGAAGGCAAAATCTTCCACTGAGTTGAAAAACATCCCATAGAACGTAATCTGTTAGAAAATCTTCCATAGCAACATCAGAGCAATTGTGATCCCTTCAGTCAAAGCAGCATCCCACCCCATGCATGCTCTGAATTAACGTGGGTATTTGCCTGTGGTGTTTTCCAAAGATAAGCAGGAGCTTTTGGAGCTGGAAAAGGGCAGTCTCCTGCATCAGACATTTCCAATTAGACTGAAACTAACTCACTGAATGCTTCAGACTCACTGTAGCCTACGAGGCACTGGAAAGAGCTGTACTTTCAGTTCCCAGCTGCTTGCTCATGCCCTTGCACTGACTTGTCTTGCCTCAGCGTAGGTTTTTCTTTGGTTGCATAGTAAGCCATATTAAAGGGACTGATCCACCCAGGTGAAAAACTATGCATAGAGCTAGTTATATTTCAGCTGGATCTGCTCTTCTGCCTGATTGCTGGAATGAGTACAGAGGAGGCAGGTAAGAACTAGCAGCTGCTCCCTGTCCTAGGGAAGATATTGAGAAGCTTTTTGCATTGAGTTTAGCAAATGATGGTTTCTGGCTTGTTTTTTTGTGTGTGTTTTTATTTTTTGATTATTGGTTGAGTTTTTTTAATCTCTTAGAAAGGAAGCCTTTGTAAGGCTTCCCAGGCTACTCTGTGTTTTTCAGAGCAGGAACAAACCTGTGTGTTAGCTAGGCTGCTGGAGTAAGCGTTTCTTGCATGTGGAAGAATAGTGTCCTCAGTATGAGTTGAGGGCAGTTCAGATGAGTTGGGCAGCATCGTGCCTCCATGTGAAACTTCAGCAGTCTGCTCCTCTCTGATTGCAAGTGAAGGTTTCACGTTATTTATCTGTACTCTGAACGATTGCTGCAGAGCACAGAGCCTCTTACTCCTAACTAATCACTGGAGGATCAATGCAGCTTCAAGTGCGATTCTTTCTTGCATCTTTTAAATTGTACTGTATATAAAATGTATTAGAAACAACAAAGTGGCCAAACATACAGGAGTCCATAATTTTAATGGGACTTGTATTTTGCATCTAGGTAGACATAAGAGTAATATTTGGCCTTTTTCACATGTTTGGCCATGATCTTAACATCATCTTGAATATTCAAAGCATCTGTCAAAGGCAGAGGGCTTACGTGGCTTAAAAAAGGCTTTTCTTTACTTGGCCTTAAATGCAGCTTTGAACCTGAAATTTCAGGTGGCACTTCCACCTGTGTTCCAAAGTAGTCTGACACAAGGGTGTGCCCTCTATAAAATGAGTACAGTGAAATATGCTAAGGTCAGAGTAATGTCTTTATACTGATTGTATTTGCATACTGCCTGTAATTATGTGTCTCAGGATTGGGTTTTGGGTTTTTTTTGTGTGTGTAGGAGCAAATCCTGTCAGTGGGCAGTAAACTTGTCGAAGCAACTGTGGCACAGTGCTTTTATGTTTGGATGGTCTCAAAGTGGATATGAATTCTGCACTTTCCTTTTAAGGGACTACCTATAAATTTCAGACCAAAATAAGAGTTTTCAATAATGTAAATCACTTTAAAAGCTATTGCGTACCATTTCATAGCACTATCAATCCTCCCTAGAGAAATAAATAGTTTCAAATTAAATCCAAATTATATACATAAAAAGTTGCAAGCAAAAGCTGCCAAGCCATTACTTGAGCAGATAGTCTGAAATCTGGTTGGACTTGTCAGATTTAGACAACTTAGACATCTTAAGACACTGCTCTGCTAACAAAGATTTAATGTGATTGGAAGTCTTTGTTCAACTTAAGAGGCTGTCTTGTATGGATAGTGAGACTGACTTATATCTACTATAAGCTTCTAATACACATTGAATGTTACAGAAATGAAAATGAGGCCTTGTTACAGATAAGGGTCAGTGAGTAGCGATCACTTCAAAAATGTAGGATAAAAGAAAAATGTGGTCAGCTAGCATGTCCTTCTGTTTGTTATGGGGGAAAAAGAAAAATCTCCAAGTTGGAATGGAGATCTTGTCACATAGACACGTGTTGCCTATGTGGACATTTCAGTTAATTGTGCTTCTGAATGGAACAAGGGAACTTGCCACAGATGTCTTGGAGAAAGCAGAGGTACACAATGTTGTCTTTATTCCATATTTACCTGCAAAACAAGCCTGCAGGAACTTCAGGCCCCGAGACTCAAGGAAAAGTTTGGAGCAAGTTAGATTTGCCCTTGGCAGAGGGCCACCAGTTTGAGCAGCACTTTTACTACTGTATATGCATATCCAGCATGAGTGCAGAGGAAGCTAACTGGTGTTGGGAGGCTGCTCTCAGTTACCTCTGAATGGTCATGGAAACTGGGAGAGAGCAGGAAGATTCAGCACACTACAGACCTGTCAGCCTCAGTTCCGTTCGTGAGAAGGTGATGGAGAAAATCCTCGGTCTGCATTTCTAAACACTTGAAGGACAAGAATGTGATCAGGTCATCATCATGGATTTATGAGTCACCTTCTACACTACAGTGACTAGCTTAGTGGATGAGGGGACAGTAGCGTTATTTAACTTGATGCTCGCAGAGCCTTTGGCACCATGTCCTGTATCATCATCGTAGACAGGCCAGCATTTATAGATTGAATAAGTGGATGCTGAGGTAAATTAAAAACTGACTGAATGCTTGGGCCAAGAGAGCTGTCAGAAGCACAAAAACTTCTTGGAGGCGTGTAACAAGTGGCTTAGTCTCTGTCTGAAATACCAGTGCTCAGTACTGCTCAGCATCTTCAGTAACGACCCGGACAGAATACACCGTCAGCAAGTTTGCAGGTGATGCAAAACTGGGAGAAGCAACTGGTAGACCAAAAAATTATGTTGCCATTCAGAAGGTCCTCAACAAGCTGGAGAACTTGGCAGAGAAGAATATTGTCATGTTCAGCAAGTAGAAATATGAAACACTACATCTGGGGAGGAATATCACCAGGACCAAGGCTGAAAGGACACTGAAATCCTTATGGACAGCAAGCTGGCTGTGAGCCATGATTGCCTGTGGCAATCTGAACATATCCTTGCTACAGAGAAAACCAACAGTTATACTGGGCATCATCAGCAGGCTGAGTGAAGAGATTCCTGCTCTCTATTCAGCTCTGCTGAGCCTGTGTCTGAAATACTGTGTTCAGTTCTGGGCTCTGCAGTGCAGGGAAGATTAGGGCTTACTGACGTGAGTCTCATTGCACAGCTACAAAGGTCACCACTGCACTTGGTGCAGCTGGCATTTGAGGAGAGAGAGGCTGAGAGCTGGGACTGTACATCCTGGAGGAGAAAAGGCTCTTAGGGAATCTTAATGCATAAAAAAATACTTAATGGGAGGGAGTGAAAAAAGGGCAGATCCTTCTCGTCAGTACAGGAAAGACATCAAGGCCCTGAAGCATGCCCAGAGAAGGGCAGTGGAGTTGGTGAAGAGTCTGGAGCACAGGTCTTATGATGAGCATCTGAGAGAACTGGGATTGTTCAGTCTGGAGAAGGGGAGGCTCAGGGGTGACCTTATCATTCTGTACAGCTTCCTGAAGGCAGGCTGTGGCAAGGTCAGGGTCAGCCTGTTCTCCCTACTAACTAGTGATAGGGTAATAGATAATGGCCTCAAGTTGAACCAGGGGAGATTCAGGTTGGATTTTAGGAAAAATTTCTTTCCCAAAGAGTGGTGAGATATTGAACAGGTTGTCCAGGGAGCTGGTGAAGTTACCATTGCTGGAAGGGTTCAAGAAATGTTGAGAGGTCGTACTAAGGGACATGGTTTAGTGGGGCAAAATTGATGGTAGGGGGGTGGTTGGACTGGATGATTTTGGAGGTCTTTTCCAACCTTGATAATATGATTCTCAGTAGTACAAGTGGCAGGATAGGCAGTGGGCACAAAATGAAATAAGAGATTTCACTTGAACATAAGAAAATACTTCTTTTACTGTGAGAACAGTCAAATGCTGAAACGGATTGTGCAGAGTGTGGAGCCTCCATCCTTGGAGGAGGACTTTGAATCCTCAAAATTCACCCACGTGGCCACTGCCCTGGACAGTTTGCTCTAGTGACCCAGACTGGGTGAGAGGATTGGACTTAGCGGTCTGAAGATGCCTTCCATCATAAACAATTCTGTGAACACTCTGACATAAGCAAGCTGAACAAATCTATTTGCCTATATATTAGAGGCTTTGTTATACAAGGCTATTTAAGCAGAAGAGAGATGTCATACAGACATGTCTGCAGTGTTCAGAGTTCGGGTTCAGCAATGACAGGCAGTGTGTAGGTATCTAGGTATGTTTTCTGTTACAGCTGGTGAAAATTTTCTGAGTTCTGATTTTTCAGGCTGCAAAATATAAGTACTGTAAGACCTGGAAGTGAAAATTGAAGGGAGGGTAGAAGATTTACTAAAAGAATATGGTAGCATGAGTTCTTTCCCTGCATGTGATGAGTTTCTTTAGGAGTCTGACTTTCTGTCCTCATCTGTCAAATATTTTAAACATTTGTCTAATTTAAGGTGTATTAAGAATACTTGTTACACTCAGTGGGGTGTTTAGTGGGGCACTGAGAAGGTGCAATCAGTACAGAATATTGTATTAAAGATAGGGGTGTGATTCAGTTTCTTCCCTTTGATAAAACTTTGAGAAGTATAGATGAGATCAGCAAGTGAATTTGAAGCACTTATTGTAGTCCTGATGCAAACTGAAAGAACTTTAGGCAGTAATCCTAAGATAATTGCTGAATCGCATGCTAATTTCATGCTGTCTTTAATTGTGTACCCAAAATGAGGCTGATATCCAGAGGCCATGTCTTCCTTAAGTCTGAAAGCCAGTGGGGTTTGTCCAGTTGGTTAAAACAGTCTAGTGAAGAGGTATTGTCTTCACCTGCACGCCTTGTCTTGCTTGTATTATTAGATCATCACAGATGGGCAAAAATGCCTTACGTGGTGTAAGGTAAGATCTGAAATTCCTGGGAATGATGGGCCTATGTAAGTAGAGACATTTTATATATATTCTATCTATTACTGTGTTAGAGGTAGCTTCAGCAGGGGATTAAGTGACTTGAAGTAGAAAAGAAAGCTGATAGAAAATATAACATTGTAAAGGTCAAGAGAATGTCATTAAGATGAATCATGCTGAAACTTTTAGTCCTGGTTATTATGAAATACAGGAAATTTCCTCTTAAGTATTTTTGTCTTTAAATGTGTTGGTTCTCAGTGCTTTGATCATCTGGTTAACTATTGTGTTTCAGAAACCTGCCATGAATCATGGAAGAGGAGAAAGTGTGAAACTGCTTTGGTTATCATGCAGGATCAGTTTGAGACTTGCACTGATTAGTATTTGAAATACATATTGCACATAAAGAAATAATAGGCACTTAAGTTCTTAACTTTTATATATTTCAACAGGCTTTTGGGTTGTTTTTTTTTTTTTTAAATATTATGCTCTTGGGACTTAATCATAAATGAATCGTTTAATACATGCATGTGTGTATCTATGTGTGCACACATGAGATATACGTGTGTTCATACACATGCATACAAACACACGTCTTTAAATGAAGAAATGAAGTGTTTGAAAAGCCTGGATGTGGAGTCATGTCTACTGTATTTCATCCTGAGGAGAGCTGCATGGCTGTGTTGCTGGGGTGTTGCTCAGATGCATCCTGACAGACTGACGTCCTCAAACCCCTTGTTCTCAGCTTCCTATGCATTCTGTGAAAGCCACATTTGGACTTTTCACCATATATCATTGCTCTTTCCCATTGTAAAACTGGGGGAGCTGCTTCCAAATTCTGTCAGGTTAACTGGAGTCACGTATTTCCCTCCAAACATGTACATGAATGCACATAAACGCTTCCTTGATTTTTTTTGCCTTTGTTTTCAAGCATTGTGAATGTGTTCATGTGTGATAGCTAGGAGTAAGCAACACTATTTTGTCTTAGTGGTGTGAGATGAATAGAAAATCCTATTGTGCAGAATGATTAATAATCAGCATTGCAGCAGAGCCCCTTTTAGCCCTTCTCTGTTCCTGTGTATCCATTTTGTTGGATAGTCAAGTGGTTCTGTCAAATATCTTCAGTAGGTTTAATAAGCCCAAATAATGAGCAGGATTGTTTTGTAATACATGGCTTTCAAAAACAGAATGTGATGAAAATATGAGAATGTCTAACTTTTTAATGCAAACTTCCCTTATGCCCAACTATATTGCTTTATATTTTCTGGACTATTTGGATCGAATCTTTATTTTCTAAAAATTGAGTGGCTCAGATAACGTGGATAGGGTTACATTGCCAACAGTTCTTTTCAGAGGGAGCTTGTCTTCTCTAGCTGAGGAATACTAAATGTGCACATTTCTTCATATTCAGAAGGGAAAAATCAAGTATAGTTAATTTTCTTGAGAACTTTACTGTTGTAGGCTGCTAATACCACTTGACTCTCTTTTGCAGGATTCTGAGGAGGAGGACAGTGAGTTGGAGGCCATCCATAAGAAACTGATAAGCCCACAAAGTTTTAAAAATTTCCGCCCTTACGTACCAGAGGAGTTTGCTGACTTCAGTGTTTACAATGCTAGCCTGGAAAACAGGGAGTGGTTTTCTTCTAAATCAGACTTCATGAGTTCACGTGCTCTTGAGAAAGAGGTATCCCGCAGCCCCACCACTAGCAGTATCACTAGTGGCTATTTTTCCCACAGTGCCTCTAATGCTACTCTGTCTGACATGCTTATTCCCTCTAGTGATAGCACAGACCAGCTAGCCTGTCACACAAAGGAACTGGACTGTAATGACCCTTCAGGATCATCCCTTGCACATGATCCAAGATCCTTGAACAAGGAATCTTGTGAGGCAGAAAAGGAGTTAGCGAGAGAAAAGTTACCTGTGTTACCACTCAAAGAAAACAGTGCCTTAACAGAACGAGTTCCACTGTCCCTCAGTGCCACTGACACGGGCTCTCAGCAGTTACCCAGAGTTGGATCACTTTCAGCTCTAAGCTCCTCAGATGGCAGAAATACTTGTCATACAATTGAATTTTCTGCACGTGAAGCTACCGTGGAGCACACAATGGAGATTGTTGAAGATCACTCATTTACGGAGTTCATGGGTGTCGAAGATGGAAAAGACTTTGACCACTCAGCATCTCCACAGCCCTGTTCTGTTGCGTCCTCCAATGGAGTGAGCACCTTGGAGTTATCCCCAGGAACTGGCAAGGAGCAGGACACGTGTGAGACCCAGCTGGGCTCTGCAACAGCAGGCAGTCAGCTTGCAAATGCTGCGGGAAGGCCTTTGGTAGTGAAAGAGACTTCGGACTGTGAGACTTATCCTGATATTTCCATAGATGATTTTACTGGGAAGGACCACTTGGATGGGTCTGACTGTGAAGACGGTGCTTCTGCAGATCAAACCCATGTCTTGCCTAGCTGGGTGGCAGTGGGTGAGCAAGTCTGTGTTGGAAGCAATAAGGTGGGCACAGTGAGATATGTTGGAACGGTGGATTTTTCAGCTGGCATCTGGGTTGGAGTTGAACTAAACGTTCAGTTAGGTAAGGCTGACTATGCTCTGGATTATCTGTGCTGTTACTATGATCTGTTTAAAGTTGCATTATAACCATACTCTCTGTTCACCCTTGGGGAAAAACTTGCAGTTTTGTAATCACTTGACATCTGAAACGCAGCATTCTAGGCTTTCTGTTGATAGAGATGCTTTGATAAAGATCGTTAGCTGTCTCAAAGCCCTGTTCTTTTACTTAATGCAAAATAATGCTTTGCATGTCCTAGTAGTTCCCATTGGTACCCATCTGTTTATAGGTAAAAAAGAAAAAAAATAAGTAAAGCCTAAAATCAGCAGATATATTTCAACTTCCAGGTTCATGGGCAGTGCTAGCCATGGACTTCGCTTGTCAGATGAGTTTGCTGCCTGTAGCTTTTAGAGAGACTTATTTTTCTACTAGGTAAAGACTTAATTACAGTGCACAGGTTTTCTTTGACTTCTGTTTGGCGAGGTCTGAAAAAGAGCCTGTGTTCTGTAAATGCTAAGGGATTCTTACAGAGAATGGCTTCAGGTATTTTGAAAAGATGGCTTTTTTAGCAGTTTAATAGATACTAGCACTTATACTACAAATTTCTTTGACAGGTAAGTACTAAACTTCATAAGTAATTGAGAGTTATTTGTTTTGAAAAAGAGCAGACGTGTGGCTTTTTAAACTGTTTGTTATTAGAATAATATTTTAGGACGTCTTTCTTTGGTCGCAGTTCAAGGCTTCCTTTCCAGGTTTTGCTCATCCTTGTGCTTGGCATCTGATTTCAGCACTCACAGCTACAGATCTTGACTCTTTCACAGATAGTCAGACAGATTCACACTTCTATACCAGAATGACACGTCTAAGGAACGTGTGAACATCCCAACAATTAATTCTGTGCCTTTATTTTCATTGAAGGGAAACACGACGGGACCGTCAAAGGCAGAGAGTACTTCCACTGCAAACCACGGCACGGGCTGTTTGTTCGCCCCGGGCGCCTCAGTAAAGCACCAGCGTCCACGAGGAAATGCAGCAGCACTTGGCGGTCTCAGGCATCTTCCACTTCAGAGAAACGGAGGAGTTCTGTACTTCAGGGCTCTCCATCCACTCCTAAAGCAGGAGAAGGCCTCTGTCATTCAGGAGATGCGGCGGCCTCTGCTTTTTCTAGGAAACAAGAGAACAGGAAATCGTGGATTAACTGAACTGCGGTATTTTTTGCACTTACTACACATATCACTGTGTGGAAAACTTTGGAAGGTATTGTACATTTAAATCTGTCCATACAGAAAGCGTATTCCCTAGGGTCCTTGACTTCTCTAATTTTTTTATAAATAATATATATTATATATATGAATGTGTATCTATAGTTTGTCTGCCAGTGGGCAGATACGGCTGCACACTAAAATACAGTTAAAGCTGACGTGTAGATAATTGAGGTACTGGACTATTTGTTATGCACCAACGTGGGAGATATATTTTAAACAAGTAGAAATATTTTATTGTGGACAAGCAGGCTGTAAATCCATGTTTGGAAAAAGACTACGGTTTGCTGTTTTTCATTACCAAAGAACTCGTTTCAGACTGACACATTTTGCTGTTTTTATCTTTCTATTGTAAATGTTTTAACTGATAACGTGGTGCCATTTTCCTTTCAGTCACGGGGCACCAAGCAGCCTTATGTTCTGTGTTTAAGCACACTGAAATATCCAACTGCTTCATATTTCTTGTCTTCCTAGAGGCCTGCCACTGTGCTGATGAACTGGCATTGTACTGAGGTGACTGACAATGCCCGAAGCTGTTAGTCTGGTATTTTGTGTGTTACCATAAACCAGCCGGGCAGTTTGACTGCAGAAACAGTATTACTGCAAGGATGTGATAGGACAACGCTTTGGGGTTTGTCTGGGGGGGTTTTGGGGCGTGGGGGGGAAGTGGGGAAACAAGACACAGTAGATGGATTGTGACTGCAGACTTTGCACTTGTTACTTGCTGGTTATTATCAAGATGAAATAGAACCTGCAAAAGTAATTTTAATCTGTAAAGTTTATGTTAATAAGGGGAATGATGGAGGGATTTGTGTCTGGTGCTCATGAATTCCTACGAAGGTTGTTCCACGTGTAGATACTGTAGATGCCTGTACAAGTGTTTGGATGTTTGTAAAGTAACATGGTGAAAAATGAATGACGTGAGTGGCCTGCTGTACCTGTTCTTTGTTCTGAGCAAGTGAGTGACTGCGATACCTGGGACCTTACTGACAAGCTGCTGTTCTTTCTCTGATTGTTGTGTACAGTAAGCGGACTCTAGTGTGTTACTATTTGCTGTAAAGAACTGTAATTTATGTACTGCCAATCCTGTATTTAATTGGTACAGACCTATTGTGTGTTAGAATACAGACTGTTGACTTGGGATTTTAAAGACATCGTTTTGCTTATATTTGATACATTTAGGTTCCATGGTCACATAATAAGCTTAATGCCATTACTAGCTGATGGTGCTCAGATGCAAAATACTTTGTAAGAATGCTGAAGGACTGCAATGGGAGTGGAGCACCTAATGATGTTAACCTGTATGAACACTGGCTGATTCCTGTGGTCAAGATGAGCGCAGCCTGTGTGGATACACCTTCCTCATCTGCTGCCCTCCCTTCCCTTCTTAGGGGAGCAGAGCTGGGTGACTCCTGCCAGAGAACGACACGGGCACCGAGAGCTTGTGGACAGGGGAGAGCGGGCAAGTTCCTGGAAGGCAGATGCACTGCTAAAGATGTACAACCCTCATCCAGGCAGCTGGGAGGTGCTGTGCCAAGGGGGCAGGCGCAGAGCGTTGTGCTGGCCCTTGACATGGCTTTTGCCAGCACTGAAACAGGATACCGATGTGCTTGTGTTGGTTGATTCTGGTGGAATGAAGGGCTTTGCAGAAGACATCTTTCTCATGCTTTCGGAGTCCACTCGGAGTTGCTTTTGGTGCATTAATGACGATTGTTGCTGGAAAAAAATTTACCATAATGGAAAAACTTGTTTACACAGAAGTATTTTATCAGGCACAGATGATCCTAAAACACTGTCAAGTATCTTGAAGTTAATTTTAGATGTCACTTTAACCTTTTTATAAAGCTTTTGAAAATATATGCGTGTGTGCATGAACATTTGCATAAGTTGTTTGTAGTGGACGAGGACAACAGTTTTGGAAGTTAATGTGGCCCTTTTCTTACAGAACTTATACCAGGTTAGCATCAGCTACCCTTAGGAATACAGAACACATGGTTGATTCAGAAACACTCAAGTGCTTCCTGGAGTGTACAGTCTATGAATGGCAGAGAAACCTACAGAAGCCAAGCTGTTGGCACGAACATTTTGACTTAACCCATGCTATCCCATGTTTTGTTTTGCAAACTCAGCATATTAACACATCTTGTCGCAGGTAAGTGTTGGAAGCAACGTATGTCATGAGTGCAGTGAAGTAATGTGGAACTGCAGGCACTGGTGTGCACCTCTAACTCTGCTACACACAGTGAGAAGTCAGCTTTCTGTTGGTAGTGCCAGAGCAGCAGTGGCTGTCCTGAGCTTTTTAACCAGTGGAAAGAGCCGTGGTGACTGTTCAGTTGCAAGCTGGCATTCCTCTTTCCTAAATATTGTCTTAACCAGCATTTAAAAGAAACAGCCCAAGAAGCAGGATCTATGACCCACGATGAGACTGATATTAAAAAGCAAACCAGCCCCAACTGTAATGCTGACTAATGAGTGGCTGCTTCTGGTCTGAGCTGCTGGCATGCATTGTGCAGGAGCTCACCTACTGGAATGATATCGCTTAAATTAGCAGGATGGCTACCGTGCTAAATTGGTCCAATGGCCCTTGCCTTGTGTTCTCTGTGTGTTAGCTGTTGTTTTTTTTTCCAAAACCCTTTATGGAGATTCAGCCATAGCCCTGGTGGAACTGGCACACCTGGTGTGCTCCTGCAGGCAGAAGCACAGGGAGCCTGGGCTCAGTGCTCCTCAGCCTTTCCAATACTCCCCTACAAAAGGAAACTCTTCATCTGTTACAGAACTCCCATGGAAAAGAAAAACTGAAATATTTTAAAAGTGTGAAATCTCAAACTGAGCAAGAAGGGGTTTAAAGTTGCTGAGGAAGGGCAGGGAGGAGGGTGAGGCCGTGTGAAAGCAGTGAGAGCTTTTTCTACAGAAAACAAGCTATGAACAGCTTTCCTCATAAAACTGTGGGAGCTGTGAGCGATCAGAGTGCTGTTTGTGCATGGATGTTGCGTGGGTTGGATAGTGATAGGACAAGGGGTTTTAAACTGAGATGGGAGGTTTAGGTTAGATATCAGGAGGAAGTTTTTCACACAGGGTGGTGAGGCACTGGAACAGGTTGCCCAAGGAGGCTGTGGATGCCCCATCCCTGGAGCCATTCGAGGCCAGGCTGGATGTGGCTCTGGGCAGCCTGGTCTGCTGGTTGGTGACCCTGCACACGGCAGGGGGTTGGAACTGGATGAACATTTCAACCCAGGCCATTCTACGATTCTATGTCCGAGTAAAACTAAGTGCGGGGGCTTCACTCGCGGACGAGGTGCCCCGCGCTGAGGCAGCGCCCCGTCCTGCCGGCCCTGCAGCGGCAGCCGGCTGCTCCGCCACACAGTGAAGCCGAGCAGCGCAGCGGCGTTCAGCCAGGAGCCGCGCCGCCCCCTGCCGCTGCAAAGGAACAGCCGCGCAGGGGAGGCGGGGCTGAAGGCGGGCCGGGGACGTGCGGCGCCGCACGGCAGGGCTCGGAGCTGCGGAAGAGCGGCCCGCGCACCGCCTGCCCTCAGGTGGGTACGCGGCAGGGCCGGGAGCGGGAGCGGGGCCGGGCCCAGCTGGCGAGAGCGCCGCGCTGCTTTCCGCTCGCGGTTCCTTCCGGCGGCTGCAGCCCGGCCCGGCGGCTCGGGGCCGCTCCCGGCTGAAATGAGCTCCGTCGGGGAGCTGCGAGCGGTGAGTTCCGTTCGCTCGGCGATCCGCTCGTTTCCCGTGTGTCTCCTCAGGACGAGGCGTCGAAGCGCCGCTGATGAGTCTCGCTCGGCGTGCCGCCCGGAGGCTGCTCGCCCAGGTGCACGGTGCCCCCAAAGCTGCTTCCAAGAAACTCAGCTTCTGCTGGGAAATGGCTCGGCCCAGTTCGAGTGAGATACGCGTTTGTTCGCTTTAGTCTGCCGGGCGGTGGTTAAGCTGGGTTGGAAACTCAGAGTAGTTCGTGGAATGGGCGCAATCCCCAGTGTTATTCAAAACGATTGGAAGAGCGAGCGTGACGCTGACTTGTCTCTTAGCTGTTAAAACGTATCTGCTGTGCCTCTTCACTGTGTGGTTCCGAAAGTAGCTGCTGTCGCTGTGGTTGCCTGCCGACGTGGTTTTAGTACTTACAATTTATGCAGATTATGCAGATAATTTACGCAGCTAGTTAGCTGCATTTCCTCTTCATGCTTCTGAGGAGCAATAACACTCATCCTGATTTGTTTGTGCAAGAATTATGGGGGACCTCAAGCATTTGTGGTAGTTTGGGAGCTGCATATTAAGTAAGATGAACCCTTATTTAGTCTAGCAGACATACATGCGTATATTTATTTTTAAGCCTGAAGATGTGCCTTAACTTGAAATAACCCCTGGCACCAGGGCACACTGGGGCCGACCTGCCGCAAAGCAGCTCTGCAGGAAAAGCCCTGAGCATTCTTCTGGTGGACAGCTGGGTAACCAGGAGCCAGGGATGGGCCCTCCTGCTGAAGAGGGCCAACGGCCCCCTGGGCTGCACCAGGCAGAGCGCTTCCAGCAGGCGGAGGGAGGCGGTTGTGGTCCTTCCCTCTGCCCAGCGCTGGTGATGCACACCTGGGGACTTGGGTTCAGCTTCGGGCTCCCCACCACAGGACCTGCTGGGGTGGGTCTGGTCACAGAAGTGATAAGGAGCTGGGAGTGATTGATGTATAAGGAGGGGCTGAGAGGGCTTGGGGCTGTGCAGCCTGCAGGAGAGGAGGCTCAAGGGTTTCTTATTAGTGTATATATGCCTCTGGTTTGGAGTGATAAATCACAGCTGCTCTTTTTTCAGAGGTGCCCAGCACCACGATGAGTCAGTGAGCACAAACTGGAGCACAGCAGATTTCCCCTCAACACCAAGCAGCAATTCTGTGCTGTGCAAGTGATGGGGTACTGGCACTTGCTGCCCAGGGGCTGTGGGATCTCCTCTTTGGAGATCTCCAAAAACTGCCTGGACGCAAGATTGGGCGCCCTTGAGTTTTCCCCTGCTTTGAGGAGCCTTAGACCTGATGTTCTCTAGAGGTCCCTTCTTACCTCTGCCATTCTGTGATTCTAAAATATGTTGCTTTAAAATTAATATCTGAGGTAAAGAGGTTCCTTTATAATCTCATTTTGATTCTTACAGGTAGGAAGCAACCTATTCCTGAATGGTGGTGGCATTGCTATCGTGGTGGCATCTAACTACGGTTTTAGTTTAAGGCATCTTGTCTTTAAAATATTGCATGTACCCATAGTTGAATATGTGTTGTCCTACTGGGTTTGCTCATACGTTATTTTTGAAAGTCTCCAAGAACTGCCCTTCAAATTCCAACGTACAGAAACA